TGGCGTGAATTTACTGGGTACGAAGGAATAATACCTGAGTCCTCAGGAATGGCAACGCATGGGGGGTATCATGGGCGAAACAGTATACTCTGTTATGTCCATGGTACTGATCATGTCTATAGGCGACGGTTACCACTTTCCATCAGGTGGGCCGTCAGCTTGTTTGCCATTCTAAGTTATAAAAAAAAATACCACAAAACTTTATATAATTTACTAGCGGCCCGTCCCGACTTCGCACGGGTGGACGTTTTTATAACATTTTAAAAAGTGATTATTGTGACGTAACGATAATAGTTGGACATATAGTATCGCAAAATTTTTTTGTAGTTATCGATATTTTCTTCAATATTGTGGAACATACTTTTGTTCTACCACCAATAGTTTCCGCAGCGCACGCGACCAAAGATATTTTATAGCATTTTTTTACACCTTGAGTTACGTCACTAAAGTTTTAGTAAGGACCCCTAATCTTTTCTAGCAATAAATATAGCCTATGTTACTCAGAGTGAATGTAGCTTTCTAATGGTGAAAGAATTTTAGGTATGATCTATCTATCTATCTATCCATTTAAGAGCTGCGCTCTTGTCGGTGAAGCTCTTGCCACTCACTACGATTTTCAGCGAGTCTCTTCACCTCTTGATACGACACGACACCAACTCCTTCCTTGATCTGCCTGATGTAACTATGTCTCGGTCTCCCTCTCCCCCTTCTTCCTTCTATCTTATCTTCTATTATAATGTTCATAAGTTCGTCGTGTCGTATCAAGTGTCCCAACATTTTTCCCCTTCTGTCCTCAATAGTTCTAATAGTTTGTCGTTTTTCCTTAACCCTAAGCAGGACCTCCTCATTGCTAATTCGTATTAGCAATGATTTAGGTATGATAGTACTGTTTAATTAAAATAATTAATTATACAGTACTTTATTAAAGATTGTTTATCTGTCAACATGTTATCGATTAAGTCCCTTATATTACTCCCAACTCGCAATACTCATATACAATTTTTAATTCGATTGCAAGTAAAGCAAACAGACACTAATGGAAATTAATAGCTTCCTAGATGTAGAACTAAATAAGAAAATAATAATAATAACCATTGATAAATAGCGTGAAGATATAACAGGAAACAGATTATTTTTTTTTTAATTTATTTCAGTCCCTAAATAAACAAGTTTTATTATGAACAAAACTAATATAACATCCATATTGTATGTCTCTCATTCATCATTTCCTTATAATATATATATATATATATATATATATATATATATATATATATATATATATATATATAATATAATGACAATAATCATAATCATTTCCCCTAACTTATTACGTGCAAATATGTCGAGCCGTGTCCAACATAACAAGAGCTATGATCATTGAAGAAATTCGTAAACCCCACAGGTCTTTATACATTGGAAAATCGATTTATTTCAATGCCAAGGATTTATTGTAAGTCGAGTAATGTAAAAAAAAAAAATACGTAGCTTAAAACTGTGGAGTTGATTGGTAAATGGTTTAGTCTGTGGTCTGAAGTTGTATGTGTAACGCTTCCCGCGTTACAAATTGTGATTTAAAAAGTTTTTACACGACCAAGGAGGTTTGGATAAGTGAGTATTCTTTGCCGAGTTTATAAAAGTAGGTTAAACTTTTTTTTTTAATGTGTTAAGTAGGGTTTTGGTGAAAATAAAAAAGATAAAAAAAAGGTAAAAGTAGAATGGTGTGCCCACTTACGCTAGTGGTATATAATAACGGGGCATCAGTGAAGGATTAAACGCTGAGGATGATGTCAAGTCAGATAGCCCATCATGACGAATTCACCAGGAATTACCTATTATTAGTAATTTAATAAAGAACAGTTATACCAAAAATGGTGTAGCATAATTAAAAGTAGTCGATTTAAAATAAAATTGCCATGTGGTCCCGGCATAGAATACGCCACCATGTCCTTTCCGGTGAGTGTCGTAAGAGTCGACTAAGAAAGGGCGACTGATGGGCAGCAGCGTCCTTCTTAAAATATCATACCTCTTAAAATACCAGAGGGAGACTTTGTACAAAAGTCGATTGCTTGGGTACCTCTGTCACATTCGTGTTTCAACCGTGAAGCAGCTGTGTTTGCATGGCTGTGTTTCGGTTTGAAGAGTGGGATATGGCAGTGAATTTACTGGGTACAGAGGAATAACACCTGAGTCCTCAGGAATGGCAACGTATGGGGGGTATCATGGGCGAAACAGTATACTCTGTTATGTCCCTGGTACTGCTCATATCTATATGCGACGGTTACCACTTTTCATCAGGTGGGCCGTCAGCTTGTTTGCCATTCTAAGTTACGTAAAAATAAAAAAGTACTAATTTACTAACTATTTAATTACTTTTTATTTCATTAATATAACAGTATAATATAATAGAATAATTTATTTTAAAATTCTTATTTATTTATTTATTTTGTTATAAATATTTAATTTAAGAAATGAAGTTTAATTTAAGAAAATAACCCACCTGATGGAAAGTTGTAACCGTAGCCTGTAGACATGAACAGTACCATGCATATTGCATTTTCAAAAAATCTATGTTTAATAAGCGGTGCTTACTCAAAAACAAAAAAAAACCCCAGTAAATAATCATTGAAATAAAAAGAAATTGAGCACTTCTGAACTAGCAAAATAGTATTTTTTTGATAAGTGAAAATGGTATGGTAACCCCGCCTGCGCTAACGGGATACGCTGGCGGAGCACCAGTGAAGGGTGATAGATGAGAATGAAAACAGGCCAGTTAGCCCATCATGACGAATCTATTTACTGACTGGAATTAAAAATTGCCGATATACTTCTCCATCCCATATAATACGTGTATAGCAAATTTCATAGTAATTGATTAATCTGTTAATAATAATAATAATCCTTTATTACAGATAACTAGGATCCATTTTTGTTAGTAACAATCGACTTAAACTATGCTAGTAGAAAAAAAAAAAATACAAAACAAATCATTTTATGGCACCTATAATAATTTTAACCCACAATCGGGCTATCGTATTTATTACACAATTAAGGCGTTAACAGATAACAAACAAACAAATTTACTTTCATAGGGAGAGAAGGAATTATTAGTAATGAGGATTTGCTTGCTCGCATTGCTTGCATTGTTAGCAATTTACCCTGTCAGGTCCACCTCCTCATGATTCCCCCTGGAAACCATCGTGATTGATTTATTGTTAGATTCGTCATGGTGGGCTAACTGACCTGCTTCATCCTCACCTATCATCCCTCACTGGTACCCCGCCGGTGTATACCGATAGCGCAGGCGGAGTTACCATGCCATTATCATCCATTAAAAACTCACTTCCCTATTTATCATCATTATCATCATATCAGCCAGTAGTTGCTACACTTGGCAGGCGGGTTGGCAACCGCAGTTAGGCTTTTTAGTGATGTTTTAAGAAGGACGCTGCTGCCCATCCCTCGGCCTCCCTTAGTCGCCTCTTACGAGATCCACGGGAAAGGAAGAGCTGGCCCACTCTATGCCGAAACCGACACAGCATTTATTATATTAGGAAGAATATAACGGTGTGTTTGTTTGTTACCTTATAACCCATTAACGGCTTAACCAATCGCTATGAAATTTCGTATACATGTATGGGATGAAGTAGGATATAGACTACTTTTTATTCCGTTCAGTAAACATGTCCCGGTCACGCGAAGTCACGGGTAAAAGCTAGCTCGCAATATTGGCAAGGGTTCATAAGTGATTGGCGAACCTTGGTGAATGAGGAAAAAAACGCGCCAATTGTGGGAGCGGTCTAATTGTGAAACTATTGTGCTCTGATTATGCCCTTCGAGAGACATTTTTTTTAAATGAATATAAAACTAATTTTTTTTATCGTGCATTTCTGTTATACGCAGTAATGATTCAAGGACATTTTATGTTTACGAGAGTTACTAAAGGGTGATTATGTAACTAGTAGATAGGTTTTTTTTTAATAGGTGATAATGGAATGATAACCCCGCCCGCAGTATCAATATATGCTGACGGGGCACCAGTGAGGGATGATAGGTGACGATGAAAGCTTAGTTAGTTAGAAAGTTAGCCCATCGTGACGAATTCCACTAGAATTAACTACGATGGTTTCCAGAGGGAAACGTGTGGAGGTCGACCTGATAGGGTGTATTACTACTAATAATTATTTCGCCTCTAGTACGCAAGTTAGACTTACTACGCAAAAAATAAATTAATTGTTAAATTGTAATCCTATCAGGGTACTCACAACTCATATCGTTTGGGGGGAAAGGGATTGTTAGTGATGGAGACTGATATGGCGTGAATTTACTGGGTACAGAGGAATAACACCTGAGTCCTCAGGAATAGCAACGCATGGGATGTATCATGGGCGAAACAGTAAACTCTGTTATGTCCATGGTACTGCTCATGTCTATAGGCGACGGTTACCGCTTTCCATCAGGTGGGCCGTCAGCTTGTTTGTCATTTTAAGATAAGTAAATATATATAAAAAAAAACGCAATCTTAAATTACCCTTTAAAGTTTTATAAAATTAAATTATAAAAGCCACGCGATGTTGAGATATCTACTACATCAAACGGACAGACATGACGAAATTGCAAACACGTTACTATGAACAATTATTATTGTTCTGTAATCTAATAATGTAAACAATAGCATATCTTAGTAACCTCTTGAGATTTTTTTTTAATGGATGATAATGGAATGGTAACCCCACCCGCGCTATCGGTATACACCGGCGGGGCACCAGTGAAGGATGATAGGTGAGGATGAAGTAGGTCAGTTAGCCCATCGTGACGGATTCAACAAGAATTGTTCACGATGGTGTCCAGGGGGAACCACGTGGAGGTCGACCTAATAAGGCATATTGCTAGCAATGGGGCTGTCAAACTCCATTGCTAACAATCTCTTTCCCCCTCTTGCAGATATTTCCATAGACAATGTAAGAAGATGGTATTAATTATAATAAATGTTGTTGCAGGTATCCATTGGGCTGCAGATGCAGGGCGAGGCGAGGCAATGAAGCCATTTATAAAGCAGGTGACATTTTATATTTTTTCATTGTACAAATTAATCATCATCATCATCATCATATCAGCCTTTAACTGTCCACTGCTGGACATAATCCTTCCCCTAGGGGGATTTTGCAGTAATTACCGGACTTTTTTTGATGGGTGAAAATGGTATGGTAACCCCGCCTGCGCTAACGGGATACGCTGGCGGAGCTCCAGTGAAGGGTGATAGATGAGAATGAAAACAGGCCAATTAGCCCATCATGACGAATTTATCAGGAATTAACCATGATAGTTTCCAGGGAGAACCGCGAATAGGATACGATACGATACGATGGCATATTTCAACACATTGCTAAAGCCGCTAAATTTACAATCTCGAAATTTTGCAGATAGGTTAAAATAGGAATAACCTTTATTCAAGTTGACTTGTTTATAAGCTTTTTTAAATCGAAAATTTTTATATTGTGCACGTAAATAAAAAAGGAGTTTTGTAAATTCAACCCTTAAGGGATGGGGGAAAGGGATTGTTAGCAATGGAGTTTGACAGCCCCATTGCTAGCAATATGCCTTATTAGGTCGATCTCCACGTGGTTCCCCCTGGCAACCATCGAGAACAATTCTTGTTGAATTCGTCACGATGGGCTAACTGGCCTGCTTCATCCTCACCTATCATCCTTCACTGGTGCCCCGCCAGTGTATACCAATAGCACGGGTGGGGTTACCATTCTATTATCATCCATTAAAAAAACCCTTAAGGGAGTAAAACGGGGGTTGAAAATTTATTCAAAATTTCGTCTATTTTTTTTTTGATGGGTGAAAATGGTATGGTAACCCCGCCTGCGCTAACGGGATACGCTGGCGGAGCACCAGTGATGAGTGATAGATGAGAATGAAAACAGGCCAGTTAGCCCATCATTATGAATTCATCAGGAATTAACCATGATAGTTTCCAGGGGGAACCGCGAAGAGGTTGACCTGGTTGGGTATATTGCTAGCAATGGGATTCTCAGTCTCCATTACTAACAATCCTTTCAATAGGGGGGCTATTTCGTCCATTTAGAAGGTAGATACGTGAAATTTTAAATCCAAATTCCTAATTCAAAACCAATCCCACAGAAAATGAATAAATGAATGCGAACAAAGCGGCAAAAAATTAATGTATATATATTTATATACTCACACTAATGTGATAGTATGTGCATAGCACATACTGTCTTTAAAACACATTTAAAGATTAAGAAAAATAATAAATAATAGCTTCAGTACTTAACCCGTCTCTTGACATTTGTGGTATCTTTGAAATTTGTGAAACAAGTTTGTAACTACAGCTGCTTGAGAAGGGACAATAAAACCAAAACATGAAAATAAAAGATTTTAAGCATTCAATTGTACCTATAATTAGTTTTTGACGTAAAACTTTATCTACAGATACCATTCTTGTTCGCAAAGTGCTTTATCTATAAGTACAAAATAAAGTCGCTGTTGTGGTCTTTTTGTTTTTTTTTTTAAACTGAAATTGCTGTTGTACGACCAACAGCCTTTACAGTTTTACCAAGCGCGTGCAGGGGCGAATACAAGCAATCCAAGCTCGCAAGAAGTGAGCGATAAAGTGTCGTCTCTTACCGATGGATTGTCTTTCTGTTTCACACAATGGATTTTTATATGGTGTCATTGTTATTCAATGTTTTTTTTTGTTCTGTTTATCCCAAAGGGAAAGGCAAAGGGCTGTGCCCATACAGCTCATGTCTATTGTAATGATTCTTTCAAAGTTTACAATTTTCTTCGATTTAGATATCTTGAATTGTTGATATGATATAATGATAAAGAGCAAAAAAGGTCCTTGGGTCTTTTTTAACGTCTGGTCGCCCTCCTCCGTCCCTCTTATCGTCCCTATCAGGGGCCTGTCCTCTCGTACCACTTTTTTTACAATAAAAACTGCCAAAATATCAATTGTCACTTGAATCATACTACAACGCACAAAGCATAGCAACCATTACTCGGCAATTTATTAAATCACCTGCTAAAATTGGCAGGTATATCCAATTATTTGTAAGTTCGTGTCGATAAAAAAATCTGAAAAAAAATTGCTTTGATAGAAACTAATTCTCTTTGATATGAACATAGAGATACGAACGTTTAGTTTTGTTTTTTTTAAATGGATGCGTAAAGCGTTATTAATTTGTATGGCGGACAGGCAGTTTTTTGAGTTGTATCTATCATAACAGATTAGCTATACTCACTTAGCAACTAAATTTTTTTATTTTTTTGTTTGTAAAACATTCGTGGTTTGGCATACGTTGTGCTCTATCTATGGGTCGGATCTAAGAGTTCCTGTAAATATTCCAGGCGTTCGTTGTAAGCGGAGCGGCGCTAAACATAGCTGGACATGGGTGCGCACACGGATTCCCGGCTGTTCTCTTCGCGCAGCTGAAGGTCGACGGTGGACCTGTGGTTTTAACTGATCATGACACTTCCTGGATAGGTACGTACCTGCTTCTAATTATTGACTCCCTAACTAAATGGTCAAAATTAAATTTATATAACTTCAGAACGTTTTATCTATTCAATTTATAACATACCATGTACTAACAGACTAGCAATGCAATCACAAAAACGAGACAAGAAAGTGATTTTTTATGCAACTTAGAATGGCAAACAAGCTGACGGCCCACCTGATGGAAAGTGGTAACCGTCGCCTATAGACATGAGCAGTACCATGGACATAACAGAGTATACTGCTTCGCCCATGATACCCCCATGCGTTGCCATTCCTGAGGACTCAGGTGTTATTCCTCTGTACCCTGTAAATTCACTGCCATATCCCACCATACCCCAGAAAGTGATTACACTAGGGTGTTTTCTAAAAGTGTGCACGTGACAGATCAGAATTTGTATGGAATTTAATTTACAAAATTCACGTATTTGTTAATTTAATTTTAATTTCGATTTGGGGACGTTCGGAGCTCCAATTAGATTGAATTAGATATTTTCTACCCAATTCTTGTATAAAATATTTCCGATTGTTCTAGAATATTGCGTTTAAAGGTATAAATATTTACAGCGTAATTACATAAAAAATTATCAATTTTCGTTTAAATTATCATTTAATTATAACTACATTCACTTAAAACTAATTCTGGCAATAAATATTTTCTATTCCATTTACAATAACCTTTTAAAAAATATTATGAAAAAGCACTTAGTGACCCGGCATAATGCAGCCATCCGTTTAGAGTTAAAATATTCCATTTTCGAATGATCGCATACATGGACTATATTATTCCTACGTACACTCAGGATGGTGCGGTTAATATGCTTTTTGATCATATCTGAGGTTCATTAAAAAAAAAAAATCCGCTTGTATGCCGTTTCAAGATTTTATAGAAAAAAAAAAGAATTCGTACTAGTGTCTACTACATACCACACCAGTCTAGTTTACAGTTATATTCAAGAAAAAAATGTAAATTTAAACAGTAAGATGGACATTACCTGATTTATGTTAACTTAAAGAGTCATTAACATAAATATTAGCATAGATAACATAAAATCGATACTAGCGACATTAGTAAAGCGGGTTTTTTTTTTAATTGCGATCTGTTAAAACACGGCCAAGTCCAGTGGGTAACTGGGTATTGATAAGTGATTTCCAAGGTTTACTAAAATATTTATTTACCTGCGAAGTTAGCTGCAACTTTGTCCGCGTGACCGTAATATGTCGATACAATATATAGCCTATGTCTTTCTCACTCCGTCCATACAGTACGTATGCCAAATTTCAGAACGAACGATTGAGCCGTTTTTTTTTTGTTAGGTAAAAATGCTATGGTAACTCCGCCTGCGCCAACGGGATACGCTGGCGGAGTACCAGTGAAGGATGATAGATGAGAATGAAAACAGGCCAGTTAGCCCATCATGATGAATTCATCAGGAATTAACCATGAGTTTCCAGGGAGAACCGCGAGGAGGTCGACCTGGTTGGGTATATCGCTAGCAATGGGATTCTCAGTCTCCATTACTAACAATCCCTTTCCCCCGATTGAGCCATTAGGACACTATGAAACAAACTGAATTTAATATATACCAAATCAACTAGAAATAGCTTACTTAATTACTTAATTTGGCGTGAATTTACTGGGTACAGAGGAATAACACCCGAGTCCTCAGGAATGGCAACGCATGGGGGGTATAATGGGCGAAACAGTATACTCTGTTATGTCCATGGTACTGCTCATGTCTATAGGCGACGGTTACCACTTTCCATCAGGTGGGCCGTCAGCTTGCTTGCCATTCTAAGTTGTATATAAAAAAAAAAAGAAAAAACTTACTTATCGAATAGCTAAAACCTTACCGATAAGTATTTTCAGGGTCAGCGCGTTCCATCTAGATCTTATCTTCACTTACCATCAGATGAGGTACCCGTAAGATCAAGCGCAAACCCATCTCGTAGTACCTACCTCCATACAGTTACTTGAAAACTATAATGATTAATTCCTGTTTAAGTCGTCACGATTGGCTATCTGATCTTACTTTATCCTTGTCTATCTAATTTCGTTCCCGCAGATAGGGTTCATGTTTCAACATTCAATCATCCATAAAAAATATTTGTAAAAAAAATTGTTGTATTATGGATTATAGTTAAATTGTTTATAATTACTCCTCTCCATCCAAAGGTTGTCTGGAAGAGATCGCTCTTAGCGATAAGGTCGCCCATTGTTTTCTCATTGTGATTATTTCTTGTAATTGTTTACATTTATAATAAGTTTATTATTGTAATCTTTTGGAGGAAACAATAAAGAGCATATATCTATCTATCTATCTATAGCTGCTTTCAATTTATTTATTAGCTAGCTTATTACCCGTGGCTCTACCTGCGTGCATTATAGAATGTTCTATATGTATGAAGTCTTCTAACTTAAATAAGAAATATCCAAATATCTTCACAAACTTTATTCACTCTTTATTTCAATACTTAAAAAATAATACAAAGACAAAAAATAATGCAAGTACATACGAACACTTGTAAAAAATAATCAAGTAATTATCAATTGCTATATATATTATTATTGTACTGTTTTTTTTTATACAACTTAGAATGGCAAACAAGCTGACGGCCCACCTGATGGAAAGTGGTAAACGTCGCCTATAGACATGAGCAGTACCATGGACATAACAGAGTATACTGTTTCGCCCATGATACCCCCCATGCGTTGCCATTCCTGAGGACTCAGAAGTTATTCCTCTGTACCCTGTAAATTCACACCATATCCCACCCTTCAAACCGAAACACAGCCATGCAAACACAACTGCTTCACGATAGAAACATGATGGGACAGAGGTACCCAAGCAATCGACTTTTGTACAAAGTCTCCCTCTAGTACTGTTGTTGTATTAGCAATGTACTTACCTGTTTGTTTATCAAACTATTTCAGCGTCGGTGGTTGGCGTGATGGGCATCGTCGGCAACTTCATATCACCCGTACTGATGACGCGCTTCGGACGCCAAAAAGCGCACCTCATCTCCACCGTCCCAGCGTTGCTTGGCTGGATCGTCTTCGTCCTGGGCAACTCCGTACCGGCATTCCTAACAGCCAGACTTCTCCACGGATTGGCCTTGGGTTTGAGGACACCATTGGCCGCGATTCTAGTTGCAGAATACACAGATCCCAAGTACAGAGGTGCGTTCCTCGGCACCTTTGCCATATCGTTAGGACTTGGGATATTCCTATCGCACCTTTGGGGTGCTTATCTGACATGGAAAATGACCGCAATCGTCTGTTCCATGTTCCCATTGATATCCATGGCAATTATAAGCCTTTCCCCTGAATCGGCTAGCTGGTTGGTATCAAAAGGACGATTTGAGGAAGCCAAAAAAGCCTTCAAATGGGTTAGAGGAGATGGGCACGAACAACAAGAGGAATTAGAAGCTATGATTAACACGCAAAAAGAAGAGATGGCAGCAGAAGACAAGAGCAAGAGCGCAGTTAAGATTACCGTTAAGAACATATTTAAATCCACATTAGATGGGATTAAGCAGATATTGAGAATCTTCAAGAAGAAAGAATTTTATAAGCCCGCAATTATAGCTATAAGTATGTTGATAGTATTCGAGTTTGGTGGAGCACACATGGTTGCGGCGTACGGCAATATAATATTGCAAGCTGTTTTGGACAAAGCCGACGCAAAAGATGTTGCTTGGCAGTTCACTGTCATCGACTTACTAAGAACAGTGTGCGCATTCCTTGCTATATTCCTGCTAAAGTATTTCAAAAGGAGGACGATATTGTTCACGAGTGGAACTATGACTGTGCTTTCTTTATCTTCTATATCCGTTTTTGTGTATATGAGGAAAGCTGAATTATTTGAACAGGCATGGATACTAGATGTAGTTCCGATGTCATTAATGATTTTATACACTTTGTCATTCTGTTTAGGACTAGTGCCGCTAAATTGGGTGATTTGCGGAGAAGTCTTTCCTTTAGCTTATAGAAGTTTAGGATCTACTTTATCTACATCCTTTTTGACACCTTCGTTCGTGGTGTCCATGAAGACGGCACCACACTTATACTCTTCAGTGGGCGTGGAAGGTGCATTCCTAGTTTACTCAGCCACATTAACAGTTTTCTTAATGATAATGTATGTACTGTTGCCAGAAACGAAAGATAGGACTTTGCATGCCATTGAAAATAGTTTTAAAGGTAAAAAATATGTGGACCCTGAAGTACAAATGACATTAATGAATAAAGAAGAGGTAGTCGTTAAGTGAGACAAAATCACAGTTCCTTGGTGCATGTAAATAAAGTATAAATAAGAATGCTAGTATCTTATAAGGTTATGTTTAAGAAAAAGACTCATAAGTCGAAGGAAATAAGATAATGATTCGAATAGTAGCTACATCTAATTTACCAATCGAATATTTTTTAGATTTTATAGGTATTATGTTTTCCGCGTACATATGGCCTTCAATGTAAAAATATCTTCAATACTAAGAAACACTTCGGCATATGGCCATAGTTAGGGGGGAGGGGGTGGCATTGAGGGGCAGTGCCCTACCTTAAAATGAAAAACCTCAAGAAAATTAGACAGCAAATCTTTTTCGAAGTCACTTCATTACGGCTTCTGTTCTACCAAAAAGTTCTTTTGCCTTACCTTAAACATGGGTTTAATTACGGTCCTACTTCGGCAATATAAATATTGAAACTAAATAAAAAACATACAGTTAATTACAACAGATTATATTTTTAGTACGCTTGTGATAAATGTGTATAAGGCAAAGACAGTTAATCACAAATTGTCTAATTCTAGTAAGTACCTAATTTAAGCTCGTGGGAGCATAACAATGCATTTCCTTTTATGGTATGATTATTTGTACAATCTATGTAACAAATCTTGATACAGGCTTAATGCTTATAGGATTTAAGTCCTTTAAAAAAGAACAAGTCAATTGGATCACAACATGATAAAATTTCTTTTAATATAAAATTATATTTAAAAAGTATCAGATGTAAAAACACAAGAATCAAAAGGTGATATTAAATTTTAATATAAACTTAACATAATAATACTGTTTTAATTTGTTCCTGGTGGTGGGATAAACATACATGGTACTGCTTCTATTCATCCTGAGGGTGAGAAAACGCAGAAAGCAAATTGCACCGAGAGACGGCACGTTAAAAACGGGCTAACATTTTACGTCATAGGGAATGGTACAGTATCCAGTATTGGGACTCATTTTCGAAATAGGAACATGCAAACAAATTCTAATAAATCGGAAATATATAACAACTGTCACAACCAAACCAATATATTATTTGCACTTTTTTTTTTACACAACTTAGAATGGCAAACAAGCTGACGGCCCACCTGATGGAAAGTGGTAACCGTCGCCTAGACATGAGCAGTACCATGGACATAACAGAGTATACTGTTTCGCCCATGATACCCCCCATGCGTTGCCATTCCTGAGGACTCAGGTGTTATTCCTCTGTACCCTGTAAATTCACACCATATCCCACCCTTCAAACTGAAACACAGCCATGCAAACACAACTGCTTCACGGTAGAAACACGAATAGGACAAAGGTACCCAAGCAATCGACTTTTGTACAAAGTCTCTCTCTGGTAAGTCTAGTCATTCACCGTGTAGTCCCGGCATAAAATAGGCCACCCCGATCCTTTCCCGTGGGTGTCGTAAGAGATGACTAAGGAAGCTTATAGTGGAGGGATGGGCAGCAGCGTCCCTCTTCAAACAACACCAAAAGCTAAACTGTGGCTGTCAACCCGCCTGCCAAGCGTGGCAACTACTGGCAAAACCCCCCCAAGGGGGAGGCTTATGTTCAGCAGTGGACAGTTAACTGCTCATACACACTAGCAATTTACTGAGAACTAATTAATTGGATACAAACAAAAAAAAAATACAAAATATTATCGAATAATAGCTATCACGAGTCTATGACTCATTGTCTATGACAAACTGCATTGTAATTATTTATGTCTCACGTGCGCAGCGACAAAAAGCGCACTGGTCACTCAGTGCTGTTCGCAATACAGCCGTGAAACGCGCTCATGAATAAGGGCTTCTATCGAACCGAAATTAGTCGGGTATTCCTGAATTTAAAACGTGTGTGAAGCTGACATAAATAATTAAAATTTCTTTTTTTTTTGGCAACATACAAAAAAAAATAGAATAGAAAAATTTAAATGGCCGTAAAACAACACTTAATAAAAACATATATATTACAAATTAAAAATAGATAAATATGCAATATTCTTTCTTTTATTCTGATTATTAGAAAAGTTCCAAATAAAATTATCCGAAACGACAAAAATATTAATAATTAATGTATTATGTATACTATTCTATTAGAGGAACTCAACTATTAGAGTTTTTGTCACAATCTTTTGAAAATTGAAAATTTAACGCAAAACATTTCAAGTTATATTTTTATATATATGTATATTATATATATATATATATATATATATATATATATATATATATATATATATATATATATATATAATATATATATATATATATATATATATAGAAACTTCATAAAATTCTTGTTATGGATGTATATAGACACCACGAAATTGGATGTTTTATCTTTATATTTAAAAATCCTATACTATCATGTCCCTTCAAGCTAATCTGCGAAACCTTTGCATTAACCAGAGTCCTCAGGAATGGCAACGCATGGGGGGTATCATGGGCGAAACAGTATACTCTGTTATGTCCATGGTACTGCTCATGTCTATAGGCGACGGTTACCACTTTCCATCAGGTGGGCCGTCAGCTTGTTTGCCATTCTAAGTTGCATAAAAAAAAATTGAATAAAATTTTCTAAATGTGCATTTTTTGCTCCAACTTGATATATAACATTGTCGATATTGCGATAAGAAAATATGGGCCCGATAGATGGCAGTAGGGAGCAAAACACTTGTTGACTCAGTATAAGATTTGGACACACACCGACATAGCTTTTTGATTTATAATCACACAAAGTACTTAGCTTAAATTAAAAACATAATATTTGGTATTTGTCTACATACTCGTATATATTTAGTAACAATTATCCTTGTACTATATTAGTACAATACTGCAGCAGCCAGCAACTGAGGCATTGATGGACGAACATGCAAATGTGGGCCGGGACGCAGCCGAGGCTCACATACGTGAGTCCATCAATGCCTAGTTGTGGCCAAGGCTTGTATAGTACTTTTCTCAAACAATGCGCGGAAATCAAAAACACAATATTACTTTTTAAGTTGAATGACAAATAACGAACAATAATAATTTTTCACGCGCCATTATGTTTCTTTGTTTTTTTTTTTTCAATAAACAGCTTTCTATTTGCAAGCCAGTTCAAAATTTTAATAAAACCTTTTATTAGTTACCTCCTTGCGAAGTAAAAGGTCATTCAATTTTTAAATTACAGGACAGATATGAGTTTACATAGTACTTTATCTAACCGCAAAACACGACAGATATGGATTTTCATACGACTTTTGCCGGCCGCTGCCCGCATGTATCTGGCCAGTACGGCAATTTTGATTTATCTCGAAGAAGTTTGTCAAAATAATGCTCACATTTCCAAGCATGTTTGAGAAAAGTAAATATCATGGCATAAATCACAACTAAATTGTAGGACTGCCTAATATATAGCAACAGCTATATATTTGAGTTACAATATCTATATATCTGTCATCGAATATTATGTCTTGGACTTTTAACATATTTGAAAATGTATATTCGACCGATATGGGCGATATCGATATGGGTGATGACCTTTTTCCCGCCATTAATGTGGTAAACCCAATATACAGATATCAGATCGGTATCCACATTACCTATGTCTACTAAATAGATTTTATAATTGTGGCTTTAAAATAATCGCAATTTATTAATTAATTCTTTATTGCAATTTTTTTTTCAATAATTTTACATTACCATGGAATGGGCTAAAAATTTATTATCGTTCTTCGACTAATGTTTCTTTGCATAAAATCTTCAATTTCTCTGATAGAATACTCGCCAGACATCGACATATCACCCTGTATTTATTCTATGCCGGCCACCCTTTACCGTGAGTGTTGTAAGAGGCGACTATGGGAATTTAATGGTTAAGGGTTGAGTAGCTGCATTCATCACCAAACTCTAACTGCTATTGCCAACCTGCCTGCCAAGCGTAGCAGCTACTGGCATAGAGGGGTAAGGGATTGTTAGTAATGGAGACTGAGAATACCATTGCTAGCAATATACCCAACCAGGTCGACCTCGCGGTTCTCCATGGAAACTATCATGGTTAATTCCTGATGAATTCATCATGATGGGCTAACTGGCCTGTTTTCATTCTCATCTATCACCCTTCACTGGTGCACCGCCAGCGTATCCCGTTAGCGCAGGCGAGGTTACCATACCATTTTCACCCATAAAAAAAAAACTACTGCCATAACCCTTGTTATAGGGGAGACAGTCCAGCAGTGGACAGTCAGTGGACTGATATAATGATGATAATAGAAATAATTTTCCAGTTTTTGATTACAATAAATAATTAAAATTAAAATAGTAGATTACCTCAAAAGTATAAAAAAATTAAGTTATTTCCTTCTCTAACTACGCTGACGATATGAAAATATGTGTTTCAAGTGAATTTGCATACTCTCCAATTATCTTTCCCCTCTCACCGTACTGGTTACGCTTCAAACTCTTTTCTTCTACATTCTTCACGACTCTGGAACGCGCTTCCTGATGCTATTAAGAGACTACCGACTAAACCATCTTTAAAAAAAAAGCGTTCACACTCACTTTTTTACTTTATCCGAGCAGTAAGTGCTTTATATTATTCTCAATTTCGTGTGTAATATAGTATATATCATATATGTGTATATTTGTTATTTATATATATTTATTCGTTTATATATGTAATTTTAGTATGTATGTATATCAATAATTAGTAGTACCGCATTCGAGTGTTCTGGCACTTCCCTATGGTTGACTGGGAGAGAATGCTTTTAGCATTAAGTCCGCCATGTACACATATTTGTACTAATGGATAAAATAAATAAAAAGGTAAATAAATTTGCAGTGGTCAACGCTACTGACAAAATCTAGATAACGTAAACAATTGCAATTATATAATTTATCGACACAACATAAAGATATTAGTAATTTGGAAACAAATGTAATAATTATCAATTAACCCTTTTTAATAATATATCAATCCTAACTCAATATTGGCAGAATGTTTTTTTAGTGAAATAAGATGATGGATTTAGAGAAATAATTAAAAAAGAACAATTTTTTTTTTTTTATACCATATACCATACCATACCATATACCATTATACCATATTCCTTTTTAAAAGGCCGGCAGCATACCTGCAATGCCGTTGGTGTTGTGGGTGATCATGGGCGGCGGTAGTCACTTACCATCAGGTGAGCCGCATGCTCGTTTGCCCCCTGTGTTGTAAAAAAAAAAAAAAAGGTGGCTAACTAGTATACAGGCCGTTTGATTGTAAACAATCACTGGTTAGGCTATGGACAGCTGCAACACTAAGGGTGTCATGTGTGCATTGTCGAATTTAAACTTTATATTGCCTAAGCAACACAGGTGTTTTTGGATATTTTACTGATCTTGCTCTTATCCTGTGGTAGTCCATATCACTGGTTATTTAATTGAAATTATTTTGTTTAATTCCGCTACCATTAGTATGTGTGTGCAACTGCCAACACTCAAAGATTGATCACCACTATTACTACCAACAGTTCCACAACCGTCCATATTAGTCACCAATCCCCTACTACTATTTTGTTCACGCACATTTTGCAACATGTTCCACCTTTAAACGAAGCATCTTCAGGCAATTTATTACATTGCTGCTCTGAATCTAGTGCTAACCATTCAGCATCCAAACTGTGTAACTATTTCTAATCAAATTGTTATTTGTTTTTTTTTTTTAACTACACTGTGAAATTTGCTTTTTTAACTAGATTCTCACTAAAGCACATTTTACCAATTTTGAATTATGTAGATATTCTACTTAGATGTACATCAATGTTTATATTAAATTACATAGTACCTTATTCAGGTATTGCCTTCCAAATTTGCGAGATTCTATCAGATTTGAGATCGGGAGGTCCAAATATAAATGATCCAATATATTTTGGACCGAGAGAGGTGAGCATGTTAGCTCTATGTCTAGTAAGGATCAGATTTCCCAATGGTGTTCTCGTGACTCCAATCTGCTGTGCACAGATGCCAGTTATGTGGACATCATCAATCCAGAAGTATGGCATCGATTGAACAGCCTTCAGGAGGCGAGGCACTACATCTTGAGAGTAGAGGATGGCCCAACCTGTAAATTACAAATTGGTATACTTGAAAACATATTCATAACTCTATTTTAAAACCCTTGATGAGTCTATGATAGACATTTATTTATTAATTAAATTACAGTGAAGAAGAGTGTTTTAACACATATTAAAAAAAAAAAAAAAAACAATAAAAAAAAGATTATTCAAAAATGCTCAACTTAATATAATTAGTACATAACGTTTCAATTATGGACCCTGTTGGGCACAGCAAGTAGGAGAGAGAAGGACAACACTTTTTTCACTTTCGAAATAGTGTATCACTATAAGTACGTATTTTCTTATTATTATTATTCATTATTTAAGTATCGGTGTGTATCTATTCATATCATAATTGTTATTAGTTTTATATAGTTATTTAATATATTCTGTAGTTTATAATTATTTATATTCATATTGTAAAATTAATTAATAAATAGTTTAATAATAAAATTTCAGCAACATCAGTTTTAGCTATGTCTTAAATCATTATCAATTCATTATTAGTTATTTATCTATAAATTACAAGATAAATTCTGCTCGTCAAACTTAAAAAAAAGTTTTCTTGTATAAAAATTATTTGTATCTTTCTATCTTGCAGACTTTAATTAATTCAGTACCCGAGAGTAAACACTACTGACAGCAAAAAGAATCAGTTCAAAATTGGCTACAATATAGCATAATGTACATAATAAAAAATGCTTTCAAAACTTATTTTGTTAACTGGAAGATACTCCTAGTAAAAAGTTTACCATTGTTCCATTTAAAATTATGAGTGTTCCTGTTTTAATATTTTCATTCTATTAGATTTTTAAACAAAATAAATTAAGGTAAATTGAGAATTGTTTACTTTTTAAAGTTTCTTAAATATTATATAATATAATTTGGTATGTAATGTAAATATAACATTACACTACAATGGTAGTAAACCAGCATACGACCTGTAATGTATAACATGTATATACTTGTTTTTTTCGTATGTACTTTTATATTAGTAAAGTTTTATTGTTCATTCTAACTTGTTGTTTCCATAATATTGGCTCAATAATTTATATTTGTAAATCACCCTGTCTTGGTAATTTCTTATGGCCTTACATATTGACTATGGCGATACAGGTTTACCTAGTGCAGGGTCCAATGTACTCACATTGTTAAATTCTTATATTTAATAAATAAATAAAAACAAATACATGTATTTTATATTATTGGTAAATGAAACATATGGTGTGCAGTATGTATAAAAAATACATACCCGCACAATACGTAGGATAGTAACGTGATGCATATTCAGCCGCAGTAACCTTCCACTTGGACTTATCAGACCTCTGCGCCTGCGCATGCTCCAACACCTGACACGTTATCAAGTTCCTCGCGCCCCACGGAGACAGTTCCCTTGCAAGAAAATGCCTCAGTTCGTGCGAATTCACCACCATATCATCGTCAGTTTTCAACACATACTTTGCCATCGGACAATGGTGGGTAACCCACTTCAGACCCATAGCGTGTTTATAAGTCATATTACGGTATGCGTCTACAAAGCTACCTTGTACGATATCCCCATACAGCATACTTTCATCCTGAATCTTCTGTGATACAGTAATATTTTCTGGCTCACCCATTAAAAATACAACTTTTGTTGACTCAATGGACCGGCCCCATGTGTTCCTTATAATCACCCTGTTCTCGTAATTTGTGGGATTCGAGGATATGATAACAACTAGTAATATTCCTGCAGTGTACTCCAGACACGGTTGTGGGTTCACTTTGAAGCTAAAATTCTTTATGTCTATCAGCTGATCGTAAACATCATCAGTTGATGGCTCCGTACCATTATAGGGTCCGAGTAGAGTGAATTTAGGGTTCGCAATTCTCGCTACAACAGGCACAGTCGTGTAATAATAGTCGTAAAGTAATAACAAACTGAAGAATATAATGAGAAACTTGTGTAACGTAATCATCTCAATTTTATCGTTCCGCTGGACCTCCGTCATAGTAAACTTCGTGTAAAATGTCAAAAATAAAAATAAAAATCCCTATCTACGGTCTCCACATGATACGATGGCACTGAGACGCAGAAAATTTAACAAAAAAAAACAATTAATGGAAAACAGAGTATTTGTTGATAAAAGATTTTTTTTAGAAGGCTGCCAACTTCTTATAATAATTACCCCTATTTATATATTGACATGTAAATAAGGGTAAAAGAATATAGGTCTTAGAAAACCCAAATATATCTTTCGTAAAAATATCATAAGGTTTTTAGGAAAATATACAACATAAGTTCATGTCTGCTATTAGCAATTTACTTAAAAGTACACAAACGGGCATCTTATTACTAACTCACGATTCGTAGTTATATGCTTCTTGAAAAGTATGTAGTTGAATTTGTGTATTAAGTATGAAATAACTGATAAAAATACATTATTTATTATATTATAATTACGGTCACAACTTGTTCATGAACATTCAATTCCCATTTTTATCTCCCTACATTTAGGGTAAATATCATAAATTGGAAACCCACAATTATATTTATTTGTTTCATAATGGCCGGTGAAGTAAGCAAAAGAATCATATTCATACAACTACTTTTAATATATTTTTTAACGTATAAAAATAAAATAGAGACTCCTTTTTCAATACAATTGAATAGAGTACCAGTGAGAGGCGAGAGACGATAGAAAAGAATAAAAGAAGTGAGATCATGACAAATTCAATAACAATTAACCAATTATTAAACCTGTCTAACTGTTTAACAAAATACAAACGAATCTATTAATAGAATCGTTACTGCTGAATTCGTGTGATAGAATAAGATGGCAACGTCCAGCGTCTTATTCTTTCTTGTTTTTTTTTTAATAGGTGTTAACGAAACGGTAATCCCGTCTGCGCTTTCGGGATACGCTAGCGGAGCACCAGCGAGGGATGATGACGAGTGAGGGTGTGGAAGAAACGTTAGGTCAATTAGCCCATCATGACGAATTTCACTAGAATTAACCATAATGATTTCCTGGGGGAACCTCGTGAAGGTCAACCTGATAGGGTATGTTGATAGCAATGGGTTAAAATGGGTAGATCCTATTACAAATAATCCCTTCCCTCCTATATTCTTTCTCACCTATCATCTCTCACTGATGCTTCGCCGTTGTATACCGATAGCGCGAACGGGGTTACCACTCCATATATATATATATATATATATATATATATATATATATATATATATATATATATATATATATATATATATATATATATATATATATATATATATATATATATATATATATATATATATATATATATATATATAATAAATCATAATTTTCTTTTAATTTTAATTCGATTACACGCGCCATAGTATAATATTATATTATTTAAGTCTTATGTACTTATATATATATAAAATTAAAAGAAAATTATGATTTATTAAGTATATCTAGTCGTAATTACTTATATCTACATAATCATATAGGAAAATGACGTAAATTTAAATTAAAAAGTCATTAATCATCTAACGATTTTATAATGAAACTAGTTATATTATTTGACGTTTGTTCCCCCCCCCCCTCACCCTCCCACTAGCTGTGGACATATAGCGTGTAGATTGTTATAGAGGTAAAGCGATTGAACAAACGTGCTTGAGTATCTGTAAGCCGTTAGCCAACGTCGGCAGCCAATAATAGGCTTGCGAGAAGTGCACCATTGCAGTAACTAGCGAATAAACAGATCTCCATTTGCTATATTACCATAAGTTTTTTTTTATGCAACTTAGAATGGCAAACAAGCTGACGGCCCACATGATGGAAAGCGGTAACCGTCGCGATAGACATGAACAGTATCATAGACGTAACAGTGTATACTGTTTTGCCCGTGATACCCTCCATGAGTTGCTGTTCCTGAAGAGTAAGGTGTTTTTAATGGAAGGTAATGGTATAGTAACCCCACCTGAACTAACGGTTATACCATTAGATCGGGGCACCAGTGAATGATGATAGATGAGAATGAAAAGGCAAATCAGTTAGCCCATCGTGATGAATTCACTTGTAACTGAGCACAACCAGGGGGAACCGCGAGGATAGGGCAATGGGGCAACCCATCCCCTATTCTTGGAACCGTGTGGAGGTCTACCTAATAGGGTGTATTAATAACAATGGGTGAGGGGGAAAGGGATTGTTATTAACGGAGACTGAGAATCCCATTGTTAGCAATATACCCAACCAGGTCGACCTCCTCGTGGATCCCCCTGAAAACTATCATGGTTAATTCCTGATGAATTCATCACGATGGGCTAACTGGCCTGTTTTCATTCTTATCGATCACCCTGCACTGGTGCTCCGCCCGCGTATTAACTTTGCCTTTTATATTCTATGATGAAATAAATAATTCGTTTTTGGTAATTCATAGATTTATTAGAAATACCTACTACAATTAAAAATGTGCAAGGCCGTAACTAGACCCAAATTTAAGGTAGGGCAAAAAAACTTTTTGGTAGAGTAGAAGGCATAATTAAGTGACTACGAATTAGCGAGTCTGTCTAATTTTCTTGAGGCTCTTCATTTTAAGGTACATTGCCCCTCAATTCCACCCCACCCCCCACCCCCCCTAAGTTACGGCCATGAAAATATGGAATGAGTCGTGGTTCAGTGTTATAGAGTTCGAGTCTAGCTGACTCCTAAAAATTTATTTCAATTTGTCATTTTAAATTTGGGTCTAATTGCCCGGTAATAAAATTATTGATAACAAACCAAAATCTGTGTAGAGGCGGTAAGCTCACCTAATATGAATACCTAATTGAAAAAGTACAACATATTTTTAATGCGCATGACTAAATTATAAATCTCAAATGGTGAATTTACTGTCAGCCATTAGTTCCATTTCCCGCGCTTCGACCGCAACGGTCCACTGTGTCAAAGTTCACTCGGTTACTTACACACCAGCGAGTCTTGGCGGGAAAAATTAAAGTATTTTTTTTTAAATTAAAGATACCAATAGAAATAGATAACAATAAATAAATTATATGTCGTGGATACCACAGATAGATAACTATGAATCATAAAATTATTAACAATTTGTTGATTTAGACTGAATTAGAAACATTATACCTTTGCTAAATTAATAAAGATGTTTCATATATCACGCCTAAAAATTCCATAACGAAAATTATATTATAGTCATTAAAGTAGTTAAAAAAAAATAGATTATGGCGGGAAAACTGTTATGGGTCACCACCGTGCTTTTGAGATTGTGGCTCGGAGCAACGGACCTCTGTTACGCACAGTGAGTATCTAATTAATACTAATTATCATTTACTAGCAAAAAACTATTTAAATTATTTGCCTACAAAAAATAAACCTTTCAATTAAATAAACCTTTTCACTAGCACTAAATTATATACTAACTGTAGGACGAAACCATAGACATACTATAAACATAGTATAACATATTCAAAACCTAAGAAAGAAAAAAAAATTATACTCTATACATTTCTTACATACATACATACATATCTGTCACGCCTGTCTCCCATTAAAGTAGGCAGAAACAATGGAACGCCAAATTCTTCAATTCAAACAAACCTCTTTCGCTTCTTCCACATTCATCAATCTTTTCATACTCGCTCGCCGGTTACGGGTACTTTTAATTTGGCCCTTCTTCAGCACGTCGCCTATTTGGTCGACATACGTCCGTCTAGGGCGGCCCCTACCGACACCTCCATTCATTCTTGCTCGATAAATCTCTTTCGTAATTCTTCTTTCATCCATCCTCTCCAAATAACCAAACCAACGCGACATTCCTTTTTCGATTTTTGTCACTACATCGTCTTTCAGTATACACTTCTCTCTAATTCACATTTCTTCTAATGGAAAATTTATTCACTTTCTTAATGTACATCTAAATTATTAAAGTCTCTCTTATTTGATTATAACATATTAGTGCTTCGCCCCGACTTCGTACGGGTAGATTCGAATAAATAGAAAGATAAATTAGTATTTCATATTGGCTTTAGTAAACAAATTTTTCATATCTTGGGTTACATTATTGTAATTTTCGTAGATATATCTAATTTTTTTTAATCGTCTTCAATAAAGGAGGTTTGTAATTTTTTGTTTTATGTTCAACTCTGTCATTTATAAATCGATTTGGTAAATTCTTTCTCATTTGTAAGGTCATTCAGAATATAAATATAAATCCCAAATAAATTTTATCAAAATCGGTTTAATAATTTAGATTTTAAATCAAAATGACTGGATTTGCTACATTTCAACACAAGCTTAAATTATTATTATTGTAAATAATGTAATTTTTTTTTTGATGGGTGAGAATGGTATGGTAACTCAGCCTGCGCTAACGGGATACGCTGGCGGAGCACCAGTGAAGGGTGATAGATGAGAATGAAAACAGATCAGTTAGCCCATCATGATGAATTCATCAGGAATTAACCATGATAGTTTCCAGGGAGAACTGCGAGGAGATCGACCTGGTTGGGTATATTGCTAGCAATGGGATTCTCAGTCTCCATTACTAACAATCCCTTTCCCCCCGATAGTGTGATATAAATAAATGTAATTATGTAGTGTATATATGTACGTATTTGCATATGTATCAGGAGGGACTATAATACGTCATCTAATCAGGAAGTAATTACCAGCGCCATCAATAGACTATTAATTAAGTAATAGGATTTCTTATGCCTCAAAATTATTACCATGGTTATGGAAAAAATTATCGTGCCGCATTCATCATTCTAATAGACATGGGCAAGATTTTATGACCTTTCCTTGTATTGTATTACGAATATTGAAATGAATGAATAAAGATACTTATCATCATCATCATCATCATCATCATCATCAGCCTACAACTATCCACTGCTGAACATAAGCATCCACCTTAAGAGGTTGCCAGTAACTACTGTCACGCTTGGCAAGCAGGTGTTTTTTTTAATGGGTGATAATGGTACTCGTATGGTAACCCCGTCTGCGCTATTGGTATACACTGGCGGTGCACCAGTGAGGGATGACAGGTGAAGATGAAAGTAGGTCAGTTAGCCCATCCTGACGAATTAAACTAGAATTAGTCATGATGGCTTCCGGGGGGAACCACGTGGAGGTCGACCTGACAGGGTATATTGCTAGTAATAGGGCTATTTGACCCCATTACTAACAATCCCTTTCCCCCCTGGCAAGCAGGTTGGCAATTGCAGTAAGGCTTTTGTGATGTTTTAAAAGGGACGCGGACGAGGGAAATTCCCTTAGCCACCTCTTACGACACCCACGGGAAAGGTTGGGGGGAAAGGGATTGTTGGTAATGGAGACTAGGAATCTCATTGCTAGCAATATACCTAACCAGGTCGACCACCACGCAGTTCCCTGCAGAAACTATCATGGTTAATTCCTGATGAATTCATCATGATGGGCTAACTGACCCGTTTTCATTCTCATCGATCATCCTTTACTGGTGCCCCGCCAGCATATACCGATACCATTTTCACTTATCAAATAAAACCCACGGGAAAGAAAGATGTGTGTCCCTCTTAAAAATCTCCAAAATCTTTCCCCCAACCCCGTGCACTCCATCTTTTGATACGAACATGGCAGGAGAATTTAAAAGTCCGGCATACCTGCAATGCCTCTCTGTTGCGGGTAATCATGAGCGACGGTAATCACTTACCATCAGCTGAGCTGCATGTTCGTTTGCCTCCTGTGATTAAAAAAAAGGCCTAACTACTTTCAATAGAGGAAGGCCTATGTTTAGCAGTAAGCAATTAACAGCTGCTGAAGGGAAAGGGATTGTTAGTAATGGAGACTGAGAATCCCAACCTCCTAGCGGTTCCCCCTGGAAACTATCATGGTTAATTCCTGATGAATTCATCATGATGGGCTAACTGGCCTGTTTTCATTCTCATCTATCACCCTTCACTGGTGCTCCGCCAGCGCATCCCGTTAGCGCAGGCGGGGTTACCATACCATTTTAACCCATAAAAAAAAAATTAATAGCTGCTAGGATATCGATGCGGATTTAGATACAAATTGCTTGTATTTATTTGTAGGCGCCCTTTTTTGGACGCAGATTGAAGTGCTGTGAGCGTCACAGTATATTCGATATAGGTAGTGATGTTTGTACATATATGCCATGGTTTGTAAAATACCTGTCCATTCCATCAGATGTTTGTTTAACATTCCTAGATCTATCTATCTATCCTATTTAAGAGCTGCGCTCTTGTCGGTGGAGCTCTTGCCACTCACTACGATTTTCAGCGAGTCTCTTCACCTCTTGATACGACACGACACCAACTCCTTCCTTGATCTGCCTGATGTAACTATGTCTCGGTCTCCCTCTTCCCTTCCTTCCTTCTATCTTATCTTCTATTATAATGTTCATAAGTTCGTCGTGTTGTATCAAGTGTCCTAACATTTCTTCCTTCTGACCTCAATAGTTCTTATAATTTGTTTCTTTTCCTTAACCCTTTTCCTAGATATGTCTAGGAAAAGACTCATTAATCTTATTTTTTTAGCAACTAAAAATGCCAAACTAATTGACGGTTCACCTGATGGAAAGTGGTAACCGTCGCCTATAGACATGAGCAGTACCATGGACGTAACAGAGTATACTGTTTCGCCCATGATACCCCCCATGCGTTGCCATTCCTGAGGACTCAGGTGTTATTCCTCTGTACTATATATATATATATATATATATATATATATATATATATATATATATATATATATATATATATATATATATTATAAGAATCCTACTAATCTTTTGTACCTATATAAATGTGAAAGTTTATTTAAATATTATAAAGGTGTAAGATTTATTTTTAAATATATTTTAACATTTATTATAAAAATATACTAAGAACTAACATCTACATGCTATAAATATCAAGAACAAGTAATTAAAAAATTTAAAAATTATATTAAATTATTTAAATTATATTTGGATGATGATGATGCAGATTGATAATGAAAAGCATTTGTATATATATATATATATATATATAATTTACATACTGATATAAGTAGTCAAGACCGCGGGAAACAGCTTATATTGTAAATATTTACAAACATCCCACAACATCTGGTGAATGTAATATCAGGTTTATTTGCGGCTGTTACAATTGTTCATGGGTTTCAAAAATGTAAGGCATTTATTTAGGCATGATTTTATCATTTATTCTCTTTTACTCTGTTTACACTCGTCCCTCATCTAATTTTTTAATAATTTCTTTTGAAAGAGTCGCCGCTCATCGTATGTTTGCTTTCAAGTCGGTTACACGTTATTGCCATGTTGTTTGTTTGTAGAGATATATATATATATATATATATATATATATATATATATATATATATATATATATATATATATATATATATATATATATATATATATATATACTAGTATTTGAAAATATTTTTTAAAGATTAACCATCGAAGTATCGTCTAAAACAGACTTATTACGCATATTCATATGTCTGATGAATGAAATGTCAGATTTGTACACTATTTTTTGTTGTGTTGTAGACAAAGTTTATATGAAAGAAAATGTTTCATAAATCATATGGAAAAATAAAAAAAAAAATTGGCTTAAAATACCCGTGCAGGCAGCTTGTCTATGCTAGTATTATAAAGAGGAGAGATTTGATTGTTTGTAATAGATAAACTCAAAAGCTACTCATAAAATTTTAAAAATCTTTCACCTACAGAAAGCTACGTTATTAACAATTAATTATTAATTTTGATAATTCTATCTACCCGTGCAAAGCCAGGCCAGATTGAAATAAGTATAATCTGTAATAAATATAGTTGCCGTTTAGTCCCAGCATAAAATAGGCCACCTCTTCCTTTCCCGTGGGTGTCGTAAGAGCCGACTAAACGAGGGCGAGGGATGGGAAGCAGCGTCCCTCTTAAAACATCTCTAAAGCCTAACTGCGGTTCCCAACCCGCCTGCCAAGCATAACAACTACTGGCAAGACACCCCAAGGGGATGCTTATGTTCAGCAGTGGACAGTTAAAGGCTGATATGATGATGATGATATTGGATTACGCAATGTCATCCAAAATACCAAAAGCAATCTGGCCATTAAAGCTAGGATATCCTGTTTATAAAAAGTCACGCAACGAACATCTGGGCCAGCACTCAGAACATCCAGCCATCGAGAATTTCGCTAGACTGAAAATCGAATCCGAAACCTTATTAAATAAAGAAATGTGCTTACCGTTGCGCTACGGAAGTGGTCAAAATAAATTATTGAACATCCTGTGTGTTTCCAGATCCACTTTGCTGACCTTCCAAGATCTGCTACCGGATGATCCTCGGCTATATGACAAGATGCGGCCCCCAAAGATCAACGACCAGCCAACCATTGTAAACTTCCACGTCACTGTTATGGGACTGGACTCCATTGATGAGAACTCTATGGTAATTATTTTTTTATTAGTTTGGAAACAAATCATTTGAGAGTTCACCTGATGGGAAATGGCTACCGTTATCCATGAACACTTGCAATACACATGGAGATGCTAGTAAATGAAAATGAAATCTGATCCTTTTCTATCTAGTATGAAAGCTTTCCAATGCCTCCTATAATATAGCGTATAACTACATTATCCTAGAAGTTCAGAATCAACGTAATGATTATCTTTCCAGACATACGCCGCTGACATATTCTTCGCACAAACTTGGAAGGACTTTCGCCTCAGATTACCAGAGAATATGACGTCTGAATACAGGTTTGGTTTTTACAAGTAATTTTAAGGAGTAATGACTTTAGGAACTGCCGAAAACTAAACTTGTTACTTACGCCTAAACCTTTTGTATTGTTTTACAAGTTATTTATTATTATCAAATCTTCTCCACGCAATCTTTTCAAAATCATCATCTTTTTTGTTCCAACTTTCTCCACTAGAAATAGCAAAAAGATTTCCCCTACACCATCGCTGTTCCTCTGGATACTATCGTGCTGAATTCCAGGTGTATTCACCATAATGGGTTAACTAACCTGCCTTTTCATTCTCACCTATACATTTCTGGAGCCCCGCCAGCGTATACTGATAGCGCTGGGATAAAAAAACCACTTGGCCTCAGTTAATTACAGTATAATGCGTCCACGATACATGTTTTGACGTAGAAACAGAATGGGCACTATCCTTAATTTATGTCTTTAGGGTAGTAATTCCTAAAAGTATGATCAAATCCTCATTATTAGGCGCTTTACATACTGACTACAGGGGTAGCTATAGCAAAGGCCGGGAATCGTAGCGGTGTGCAGTCGGTGTGTGAAGCGTCCTAAAAAGTTAACCCTTGAAATTGTACAAAATCTAATAAACTTCTGCAGACTTCTCGAAGTGGACTGGCTTAAGCACATGTGGCGACCGGACTCCTTCTTCAAGAATGCCAAATCAGTCACCTTCCAGACCATGACCATCCCGAACCACTACGTGTGGTTGTACAAGGACAAAACCATACTGTACATGGTCAAACTGACCCTGAAGTTGTCGTGTGCTATGAACTTTCTCATCTATCCTCACGACACACAGGAATGCAAGCTGCAGATGGAAAGCTGTAAGTATAAATTTGTTTTTGAATTTAGGGGTCACATGAGCCTTTTAAAAAAAGATATTTTAATTAACACAAGTCTTTAATTAAAACAAATTTCCGTTTGAGGTCTAAATCCGGTCTGTCTTCAGTTATAATAAAAACTCCCTGGAAATCGATGCCATGAAAGAACATATATCCCTCTTTAGTCATTCAGTCTTGACAGAGTAGTCGTGGTATTTATAATGATAGAGGATCGTCGATGAGGCCCTCCTTCGCGATTGAGGTCCTCGCAATGTCTTCATCTACTTCTGTTCACAGCCGAGCGAGAGCATTCCATAATAGACTGCTGACACAATGACGTATATACTAATGTTGATTACTGACTGTCCCGAGAATGCAGTGCAGCACTTTCGTACTCATATGTTGTACATAGTTACGGCTATGTAACAGTACTTTTTTTTATGGGTGGAAATGGTATGGTAACCCCGCCTGCGCTAACGGTATACGCTTGCGGAGCACCAGTGAAGGGTGATAGATGAGAATTAAAACAGGCCAGTTAGCCCACCATGATGAATTCATCAGGAATTAACCATGATAGTTTCCAGGGAGAACCGCAAGGAGGTCGACCTGGTTGGGTATATTGCTAGCAATGGGATTCTCAGTACTAACAATCCCTTTCCCCCCTTTGTAACAGTACTATAAGGATCATTATTGTTGTGTTACTGCTAATGATGTTTGTCTATCTAGAACATATAATATTTACAACCATGTGGTCTCGGCATGGAATGGGCCACCCATCCTTTTCCCGTGGGTGTCGTAAGAGGCGACTAAGTGTTAATGGTCGAGGGATAGGTAGCAGCGTCCCTCCACCAATAAAACCCACCTATTTTTAGTAGTGAAGAGTTAACGGCTGATTGGCTATTTCTTAAGACTAAGGTATTATATACATATAAGCCCTTTTACTCCGAATTCATTATAACCCTAGTAAGACATATTTTCCCTTTCTATTTATTATAATATATCTCTCAGTTCGGTGTGCCTCCTGGCATAGGCCTCCTCCAGCTTTCTCCACTGAACTCTATCCTCCGCCACTCTACTCCAGTAAGGCCCTGAGGTTTGATGGATGTCGTCTAGCCATCTTATTTTCGAATGCCCCTTTCTTCTAGTGTCTTCTCTTGGATACCATAAAGTTACTTGTTTACTCCATTTGTCAATTTTGCAACGTAGCATATGTCCTGTCCAACCCCATTTTAAATGCTCTATTCGAGTTATTATATCTGTAACTTTAGTTTTTCTTCTTATTTCAGAATTTCTGATTTTATCATTAATCACGGTGCTAAGACTAAGGTATTAGTAGAATAAAATAAATCCGTGAAAATAACCCCGTAATAATAGAGTAAGCACTCGTAGCTACGGGTTCGCTCGTTATTCATACATTCTGTGCAGAGTGGGCGACACTCGAGTCGCGCCGACGTCGCGGCACTTGGCGACCCTTGACACTTCACCGTCTAATTATAATATCCAGCCGAAGATTATTTATTTATTTATTTTTTATACTACTTAGAATGGCAAACAAGCTGACGGCCCACCTGATGGAAAGTGGTAACCTTCGCCTATAGACATGAGCAGTACCATGGACATAACAGGGTGTGCTGTTTCGCCCATGATACCCCCCATGCGTTGCCATTCCTGAGGATTCAGGTGTTATTCCTCTGTACCCAGTAAATTCACTGCCATATCCCACCCTTCAAACCAAAACACATTTTTATTTTTTATCATTATTTTTATTTGTCTGCTTATTTACAATACAGTACGTAGTGTAAAATAATATTCTGTACTACGTATCTACGTAAATTTGTCTTGTTGTAGTTGTGTCAGCAGTTATTTGTCCACTGCTGTACACAGCCTCTCCCATGAGGGTGGTTTTTCCAGTAGTTGCCATGCTTAGCAGGCAGGTTGGTAACCGCAGTTTAGCTTTTGGTAATGTTTTAAAAAAGATGCTGCTGCCCATCCTTCTGCCATATGCTCTCTTAGTCCTCTCTTACGACACCAACGGGAAAAGAAGGGTTTTTTTATGGGTATTCACTGGCGGAGTATTACTAGCGATGGGTCAGTTAGACCCTATTACTAACAATCCCTTTCCCCCCAGTCAATGCGGTTAGGACTATATAGAAATAACAATAATTGAATGAACTATTGCAAACATACGAGAATAGTTTTCCTTTAATAATAGACAGTTTATTTATTTATTTATTTATTACATCCACTGGGTGAGCCTTACCGTCTTCCAATACGCTACCCAAATACCCAGGAAAGCATGAGTACAATAACATATAAAAAGGAAAATTAAACAAAAAATAAAAATATCATTGAGTAGTTTCAATGCAAGAGATAGGGTAGCCTGCTTAGCGAACTCTGTTCTTCGCAATGGAACATCGAATAAGTGCCGTCGACGTGCTCGCACGTAGTTACTGGGCGCTCCTATTGATATTGATTCCAGTACAGTTTGGTTACATTTTTCCTCCCGCACAAATTTTAACACATACTCAATTTATATTTGTATCTACTTATTTTATCTAACTGTTGAATATAGGCATTACTCATAAGGAGAGTTTTGCCATTTGCCAGTAGTTGCTACGCTTGGCAGGCGAGTTGGCAATCGCAATTAGGCTTTGAATGAATGAATGAATGAGTATACTTTATTTGCATTATACAATATAGGAAATAAACAAGACAATTTACAAACATAACGATACGATTGTATAAGTACAGTAAGGCGGTCTTATTGCTGAGAGCAATCTTTTCAAGACAACCTTAAGGTAATGGACTAATTGTTGTACAAGTAGGTATAATAGTGCTTTATAATTAAAAAAAAGCATCTTTTGCAAATTAAAAATATATAAAAATTATATACATATATACATACATATACACATACATATACACATACAAATATATACATACACATACACACACATATACATATACACATACATATACATACATACACATACATATCAATCTAACAAAATTATATAATCCCATGCATATATGTCAAATATGTACCCAATGCTAAGATACATATTAATAATTATAGGCACAAGGAAAACAAACTATCATAAAATAAATAATTATATAAATACATAAATAAAGAATGCCAATTTTTTAAATGAAGAAAAATCAGATAGAGAAAAGATAATCTTTCACTTGTCGTTTGAAAGAATCAATGGATTTTGTACTTCTAATAACAACAGGCAATGAATTCCATAACCTAATGCTAGAAACAGTGAAGGAATTGTGATAAAATTTAGTGGAATGAGCAGGTGTCATAAGGGAAAGGTTTTCGGAAGAACGTAATGTTAAAGTATGGGTAGAGGAGATGAATTTAAAACGTTCTTTAAGATAGGCAGGTGCACCAGGGTTAAAAAGAATATTATGTAACAAAGAGAGGGTATGTAAATCTCTTCGCCGGCGTATGGGAAGCCACTTAAGCTGAGAGCGATAGTGCGATACATGATCAAATTTGCGCAGACCAAAAACAAATCGTATGCAGAGGTTTTGAAGTCGTTCTAATTTATTTAGCATATCAATATTTAGATCTGGATAAGCGACATCTGCATAGTCAAGGATAGGGAGTAGGAGGGATTGAGCTAGGGAAATTTTAGTGGCTGTAGGTAGAAAGCTTTGGTGACATTTTAAGAGGGTCACTGCTACCTATCTCTCGACCATTAACACTTAGTCGCCTCTTACGACACCCACAGGAAAGGAACGGAAACGCTGTGTAATATGATTAGTAAAAAAATTATACTTCTGCTTACCCCACCGTCGACTATAGTAGTACGAATGAATGAATTAAATGTTATATATTATAAAGATACCGAAAGATATTTTGGATCAATCTTTTAATAAATTTAATACTGTTATTAAAAAATACTTATTGAACAAAGTCTATAGTCTATAGAACTAAGTCTCCAGAAGGAGACTTTGTACAAAAGTCGATTGCTTGGTTACCTCTGTCCCATTCGTGTTTCAACCGTAAAGCAGTTGTGTTTGCATAGTTCGGTTTGAAGGGTGGGATATGGCGTGAATTTACTGGGTACGGAGGAATAACACCTGAGTTCTCAGGAATGGCAAAGCATGGGGGGTATCATGGGCGAAACAGTATACTCTGTTATGTCCATCTGTTATGCTCATGTCTATAGGCGACGGTTACCACCTTCCATCAGGTGGGCCGTCAGCTTGTTTGCCATTCTAAGTTGTATAAAAAAAAAACACATTAAATGATTACTTGAATGACAAATGTGCATGGTGTTAGTCATCGTATGTAGATGTACGTATGTAGATCATGCACGGGCTTTTAATGACCATGTAATTTTAGACATAGTACATTTAAATAAATACACATAATATTAACAGAGATTTAAAAAAGTAAATGTTGAGTTTCTTGCGGGCTATTCTCAACAGATAACAACCTTCCGAACCCTGCAAGAAACTAAACAAAAAATGATGATATTGTAAACAATAAAGATGATTTGAATTTGAAAATTTGAACGTCCAAATTCTACATTTTAATAACAAAACTTAATAATATCAAGTCGCCGTTAACGAGCCATCAAAAGCTATTTATACTCGTAAATCGATACTACATCTCGCGGCGTCGACCAGCGCACTTGACTGATCTGTCACGATAAAAATGAGCTGACTTCAGAGCAACTGAAGCACCGGCTTAAGTGCCCCTCGCCCTACATTCTGCGTGCCACTCCAGCATCAATTTCTTGTATCGCCCCACAAACTTCACTTACTGCTTGAGTGTTCTCTAATGTGCCCCGAAGTGTTACACGGAGAAGGGAGGTCTGATCCGAAATTACAGATTCGAATGATCGATTCTGAGTTCCCGATGTAGCACTGCATTGCTTTGTATCGCTCCACTTAACGGTTCAATTTTGTTTGGAGTAGGGATATAATTCATTCGGGCGTAATGGAAAGGTACAGTCTTTCATAGCTAGGTATAGTATCGATTGGCCGATACAAAAGTAATAGTTTGTTCTATATGCAGCTTAGAATAGCAAACAAGCTGACTGGATCTGATGGAAAGTGGTAACCGTCGCCTATAAACGTGAGCAGTACCATGGATATAACAGAGTATACTGCTACGCCCATGATACCCCCATGCGTTGCCATACCTGAGGACTCATGTGTTATTCCTCTGTAGCCTGTAAATTCACACCATATCCCACTCTTCAAACCGAAACACAACCATGTAAACACAACTGCTTCACGGTAGAAACACGAATAGGACAGAGGTGTCTAAGCAAACGACTTTTATACAGTCTCCCTCTGGTAATAGTAACAATTATCTTTGTTCTACTAATTTAATATAATCAGCCCTAAAACAATATTCTATTACTGTCATTATTTAATTGATCACTCTCTAATATTAATCCTTGTTTGTATGTCAATACATAAAAACAGTAGCTGAATAATAACTAACAATATCTCGTGATAAGATATCGGACAAAAACCCCTTGTACTCATTTTACATTTTTTTTTAATGCAATTTAGAATGGCAAACAAGCTGATGGGCTACCTGATGGAAGATTGTAAACGTGTACCTATAGACATAAGTAGTTTCGTATTTTGATGGGTCTTTATCAACCAACTTCAAACAGAAGGAGGTACTAAATTCGGTTGTATTTTTCTATATGTTTGTTACCTTATAACTCTGTCAGTTGTAAACCGATTTGGGATGTTCCACAGAAATTCTATCAAAATCTTAAGTAGTAAAGTGAACTATAGAACAGATTTTGTCAAATTTTACCACAATTCGAGTCGGTTCTTTTTGGAACACGACCATAATTATTGATGTACAGTTCAGATGACAATAGAGTGGCTACCCCATTTGGTGAAGATGAAGTCAGGTCAGGTGGTCTGACCTGACTTCATGTTCACCAAAGGTGAGGGGGGGGGGTCGGGTGGAGATCTAACTGATTAATCGATACATTGCTTTCAATAAAGTCATGAGTGACAATCTCTTACCCAAAGCAGCTTGTTTGCAGGCTGATCTGGTTAGGAGATTGTAATAGTGCAATGAAATTTTAAAATTTTATTTATTCATTTATTTACACATACACTGAACAAACTTTTCACTTAAATAATATCCTTCATTAGATTTTATTTATCTTTTTTATTTAGAGGATTTTATCCTGTAAGGATATGTCAGTCTCATCATACCCTAATTTTATAAAATACCTCACATACTTAAAACATTAATGCATAAATAAATAATGCATAATATCTTAATAGTTTATTTTAATAAAGGGCATTATTGATATAAAAATCCTTCATTAGATTAGATACACTCTCTTTTTAAGAAAAAAAAATATATATATATATATATATATATATATATATATATATATATATATATATATATATATATATATATATATATATATATATATATATATATATATATATATATATATATATATATATATAATTATACATGTTATATATGACAAAATAACATAAAAATTGAGATTACACGGTTATATAATAATATCATTATTTTATTTTTAAATTACAATAAAAAACGAAAAATAAAAAAAAATACTAGAAATTGTAAAAAAGACATAAATGTAAAAATAAAAATAGAATGTAAGGATACACAAATGACATCACATGGAAGGTTTCATGAGCGTCATAGTATATTCTGTAACGTTCATACTGCTGCTCATGTCTGCAGGTGACAGCTACCATTTTCCATCAATTGGATATAATGGTCCAAAGCTGATGCTTTGCCATTAACATATATGTTTAATAACGCTATTTGTTTTTTTTTCGATGGGTGAAAATGGTATGGTATCCCCGCCTGCGCTAACGGGATACGCCGGCTGAACACCAGTGAAGGGTGATAGATGAGAATGAAAACAGGCCAGTTAGCCCATCATGATGAATTCATCAGGAATTAACCATGATAGTTTCCAGAGAGAACCGCGAGGTGGTCGACCTGGTTGGGTATATTGCTAGCAATAGGATTCTCAGTCTCCATTACTAACAATCTCTTTCCCTCCATGCTATTTATGTTAAAGACATACCTTAAAGAAAGCAGGTTATTGCCTACTTATTTGTGAACAGAAATGTACTTAAAAACAAAAAAGGGCTCGGTAGGTATGTAGTGGAAATGAATTCACCAAACGGGGAAACGTTGGTAAGGACAAATGGAAATTGCATAAGGCATACGACAATGTACCAATGCTGCCATTGTCCTTATTTCCAGTGTCGCACACGACAGATGACCTGATCTTCCAATGGGACCCCGACGTGCCCCTGGTGGTGGATGAGAATATAGAACTGCCGCAGCTCGAGCTGGTGCAGAATAGAACAGCAGACTGCACGCAGGTCTACTCAACAGGTGAGTGAGGATTATAGAACGAAAACGACTAGAATTTATTGCTAAATAACTTCTAGCATTTCATGGGGCAAAATTTAGTAATTATATTACTCCTCTCCATCCAAAGGTTGCCTGGAAGAGATCGCTCTTAGCGATAAGGTCGCCCATTGTTTTCTCATTGTGATTATTTCTTGTAATTATTTATATTTATAATAAGTTTACTATTGTAATCTTTTAGAGGAAACAATAAAGAGTATCTATCTATCTATATATAATATTATTCATTTATTCTTATTTATTTATTCATTAGTACAAATATGTGTACATGGCGGACTCAATGCTAGCTCAATATAGGGAAGTGTCAGAATACTCGAATGCGGTACTACTAATTATTGATATACATACGTATTGAAATTATTATTATACTAGATAGATAGATAGATAGATACTCTTTATTGTTTCCTCCAAAAGATTATTTATTTTTTTATTTATTTATTTATTTAACAAAGTATGTTTGTATTAGCACAGAATTACAATAGTAAACTTATTATAAATATAAATAATTACAAGAAATAATCACAATGAGAAAACAATGGGCGACCTTATCGCTAAGAGCGATCTCTATCAGGCAACCTTTGGATGGAGAGGAGTAATTATAAACAATTTGGTGGGAGCACTATATATATCTAGATATCCTGAGTTTTTCCCTCACCGCCATCTACTGGTCTGGTTTTTCTTCATCGTCATATTAGCGATCAACTGTCCACTGTTGAACATAGACCTCCCATAAACTCCCATAAGGATGGTCCTGAGGCACCTGCACTCACTGACTCATGCAATGCATTTGAGGTCATTTATTTTGTCTTAACAGTATAAAAAACTATCCTATATTATAAATTGCAACAAATAATACACAGGCATAAAATCTCATTAAAATCGATTAAGCCGTTTCGTAAATTAGCGTGAATGAACATAGTTACCGGAGATTTCAACCGATTTCAAAAAAAAGCAGAAAGTTCATAATTTGATGTATTTTTTTACGTTTACGATACCTCATAGTCTCATCAGTTATAGACCGATCTAGATTTTTTTTTATCTGAAAGGGTATAATTTCAGAATGGTTTTATAGAAACTTTATCAAAATCGGTTTAATGATTTTTAAATCGAACTCAAATCATCTTTATTTAAATAGATTTGTACAAGCATTTTTAACTCGTCATTTTTTATGGATGCAGGGTTCGGAAAGTTATCTCCTGTGAAGAATCCCAAAAAAACTCCAGTGTCAATATAGGAGCACAAATAAGTGGATTTTTTTTTATATCAAAACCATATTTAAATTTAAAAAATCAAGTCCGATTTTGCGACGACTGAAATGTTTTTTTTTTTGTTGTGAAACACAATTTTAAATTATTATATATTCATGATTAAGTAAATATTTAGACCTATATAATCATTAAACATTATCAATTGTTGAAATAATCACCTATTAATATCGAATGGAAAGAATAATAATATAATAATCGAATGAAAGATATATATTTTTTTTATTTTGTTTTTTTTTTTTTTTTAAATAACATCCAATAATGCATCAATAACAATAACAATAATCGAACGTAAAATAAAATACATGAAAATGGTTTGTTGGAAGACATCTCTTATCAGAGATAAGCTCGCCTTTGTACATAATGTTTCAAATGAATTGTGGTTAACATTATATTTTGTGTACAATAAAGAATACAAAAAAAAAAAAAAATACAAGCTCATTAAAACATGTTCTGAAACTTGCTTAAAAAGTACCTATTATATATTTTAAATAATGAAATATACTAACTACCCTGAATACAAGTAAAAATAAAATATTGAAAAATTCTGACCTTGTAATTCTCGGTGAACGCTTGCACCATATTTGGCATCCTTGTCCTCTTTCAAATAGCTTGTAAACAGTATTAAAGTTACGTGTACCCGAACACAATTAGCTTTAAATCTCTCATGGAACATAAGCCGTTAATTGCCCCCTCATAACGCGATATCTTTTTATGGCCCAAAGATCATTCGATTATCGTCCCGCCGCATTCTAATCTTCGTGGATGTGAGCTGAATTTCTTTATCTTAATCCAATAATTCGTAATTAAGGCTAACCATTAATTACTATTAACATACGTCAGTAAAAGAGTGTATCTATATTATTACAAAATAATGATAAAAAATTAGCTCAAAAATACAAACTTATACCAGAAATATACACATCCTACTGTAAATATACCCCCGATGTAATAGTTGAAAACAATACACACAAATTATACTATGACCGTGCTATCTTGACAGATAAAACTACACATTATAATAGACCTAATTTTTTCTTTTTTGATGGGTGAAAATAGTATGGCAACCCCGCCTGCGCTAACGGGATACGCTGGCGGAGCACCAGTGAAGGGTGATAGATGAGAATGAAAACAGGCCAGTTAGCCCATCATGATGAATTCATCAGGTATTAACCATGATAGTTTCCAGGGGGAACCGCGAGGAAGTCGACCTGGTTGGGTATATTGCTAGCAATAGGATTCTCAGTCTCCATTACTAACAATCCTTTTCCCCCAGATAGACCTGATATTACCCTCCTAGATAAAATTAAACGCAACGCACATTTCTCAAGTCTTACTCTAATTCATATCTGGCTCGAAGGACCATAGGGTAATAAGTCCTTGATGGTGTTAAAACAAGAAAGTGTTTTAATAATTGATATAAAACTCACAGTGATAATACACGTCTGAAATGTCTATCGACGGAGAAGAGGCAAGAACTAACTCAAACAACTGCAATATTTTTTATTTTTACCAACAAGTGAAGACGATTATAAAAATAATTCTATTAATTCCAGGCAACTTCACATGTCTGGAGGTGATATTCAAGCTGAAACGTCGCCTCGGGTACCATCTATTCAACACTTATATACCCACGTGCCTCATTGTCATCATGTCTGTAAGTTCTGTTTGAACTTATTTCCACCCCCCCCCCCCGGGTTTAATGGGTGAAAATGAAACCCCGCCCGCGCTAACGGGATACGCTGGCGGAGCACCAGTGAAAGGTGATCGATGAGAATGAAAACAGGCCAGTGAGCCCATCATGATAAATTCATCAGGAATTAACCATGATAGTTTCCAGGGAAACCGCGAGGAGGTCGACCTGGTTGGGTATATTGCTAGCAATTGGATTCTTAGTCTCCATTACTAACAATCCCTTTCACTGCTGAACATAGGTCTTCTCTTATTAGGAGAACTTTGCCACTAGTTGCCACACTTGACAAGCGGGTTGGCAACCGCAGTTAGGTTTTTAGAGATGTTTTAAGAGGGATGCTGCTGTCTATCCTTCGACCATTACGTTCCCTTAGTGCCAGTACAGGTGTCATTCCCAGCCATTTACACCATAGTCTAAAACAAATAGGTCTACGAAAAAATCTCTACAATTCCCTACAAAAGGCTGCCATATTATTTTTTTTTTTATACAACTTAGAATAGCATACAAGCTGACGGCCCACCTGATGGAAAGTGGTAACCGTCGTCTATAGACATGAGCAGTACCATGGAATATATGTATGTATAAATGCATAAATGCAATGCTAAATAGAATATAAAAAACTTTCAGATAATTTTATATTTTGTATTTTTTATAATATTACTTATTATTTTAATGTCTCATTTAATTAACATTTATTCTTTTTAAGTTACAAATTTTGCACTCCTAATTATGAGAATTTATACTAATTGTTGATATCTATACACTTACAATGTTTCTTGTAAATATTTATTTATTCATTCATTTATAGAAAGTAATAGAAAAACAACTCATAAACGTATAATAACTGAATAGTGGTTGTCTGGTTGGGTATATTGCTAGCAATGGGATTCTCAGTACTTTGCTATATATATATATAGCAATATACCCAATATTGCTAGCAATAGGATTCTCAGTCTGATGGGTGAAAATGGATTAGTATCTTCGTCTCCGCTATCGGTATACCTTGGTAGGGCTCCAATGAGAGATGATAGGTGAGGATGAAATGAAATGAAATGAATTTATTTTGCTAGAATGCAGGTAATTTTAGATGATAGAGGTTTATATTTCCCGTGTACATTTTGCCTCTATGTCGGCGTGCAAATTTTTAACAATATAATAAATTTATATATATATTCTACATTATATTTCCTTTCCTTAGTCATACAATATATTATTATTATTTATTACAGTAAACAGAAAAAATAAAAGCCTGTACAATAGTTGTCCAAATTAATAAAATATTTTACCAACTGTGAAAGCAAGTCAGTTAGTTTAAAGCGATGATATTTGTAGAATGTATTAATGTTAATGTTTATTAATACAGTAATTCTTAAAAGAAAGAACAAGTACAGAAGGAGAACAATAGAAAATATAAAAAAGGTATAATATTAAGACGATATGTGCCGTATATAGACATGAGCAGTACCATGGAATATATATATGTATAAATGCATAAATGCAATTTAAATAGAATATAAAAAACTTTCAGATAATTTTATATTTTGTATTTTTTATAATATTACGCCAACAACAACATTCTTCCTATATACGCATGCGCGGCCTGCGCGCGCATGGGTACAACAAACAAGCTGCGTGCGCGACCGACCGTATTACATATATATATATATATATATATATATATATATATATATATATATATATATATATATATATATATATATATATATATATATATAAAATATATATATATAAATATTTACGCTTGGCTGCGCGTTTTTTTACAAAATTAATAAAATATATATATATTTATATATATATATATATATATATATATTATATATATATATATATATATATATATATAATCACGATGGTTTCAGGGGAAACCGCGTGGAAGTCTACCTGATAAGGTATATTACTGATAATGGGACATTATTTTTATGGTTTGCGGTACAGTATTTAAGGCATCCTGTCCTCGCTATTGGGTACAGGTGACGGAATGCCTATACAAGAGGGTACATGGTGTATTCACTAGTAATTTAGGCGCAATATTTGAGGAGCATGAAGAAGGTAAATGAACGGCCGGATACTACAACAAATGACTATATGGTCGGCCTCTGAACTGGCGATCTCTGCCTTCTACCGGTCCCTAATCTGTTAGAACACATTTTATATCTATATCTTGGATACCTCTGTCCCATTCGTGTTTCAATCGTAAAGCAGTTGTGTTTGCATGGCTGTGTTTCGGTTTGAAGGGTGGGATATGGCGTGAATTTACAGGGTACAGAGGAATAACACCTGAGTCCTCAGGAACGGCATCGCATGGGGGATATCATGGGCAAAACAGTATACTCTGTTATGTCCATGGTACTGCTCATGTCTATAGGCGACGGTTACCACATTCTATCAGGTGGGCCGTCAGCTTGTTTGCCATTCTATGTTGTATAAAAAAATATCTCCCTGCACAGTGGGTGTCGTTCTGGATCAAGCCGGACGCGGCGCCGGCGCGCGTGACGCTGGGCGTAACGTCGCTGCTGACGCTGTCTACGCAGCACGCCAAATCGCAGGCGCAGCTACCTCCCGTCTCCTACCTTAAGGCGGTCGACGCCTTCATGTCTGTTTGTACCGTGTAAGCTGTCTATATTACAAATTTTATCATACTACAATCGATTCATACGGTATGGAAGCTTTTTTAAATGGGTGATAATGGAATGGTAACCCCACCCACGCTAACGGTATACACCAGCGGGGCACCAGTGAATAATGATAGGTGAGGATGAAGCAGGTCAGTTAGCTCATCGTGACGAATTCAACAATACAGATTAACCAAGGGACAGAGGTAACCAAGCAATCGACTTTTGTACAAAGTCTCCCTCTGTATGTTACGTGATATCTTCGTTATTTCTGAAAGTTATTTATGCAGTCGCTGATTCTTTTTAAGTATTTTTAAGTGGCATAGCATATATTTACGTTACTTTTATCCTACTTCATTCAAGCAAAGCCATGGAATGCTACTATTAAATTTATAAAAAATCTCAATTTCCATTCTGTCTAGATTCGTGTTCATGGCGTTAATGGAGTACTGCTTGGTGAACATAGTCCTTGGTGACGGTGCTGGTAAGCCGAAGGTATGTGAACACCTCAACTTTATATACAAACATATAGATTCACCTGATTTATTCAAACTCATCATATTAGATTTTTATTACATTTTTTTACTGGTAAATATGATCAGAACTATTATTTCAGGACGCAGCAGAAGCAGCTAAAGCCAGAATGAGAGCCATCAACATCGATAGGTTTTCCCGCGTTTTTTTCCCGCTCTTATTTTCCGTGCTCAACGCCACCTACTGGCTGCAATTCGCGCAGTACATCTGACTGCGCAGACTCGTACCGGGGCTTGTATTACTCGCAATAAATTTTGTATTCTAATTTAAGTAAGTATAAAAAAATATATAAATACATGTCATTTTATGACTGACGTCAACGTCAAATTCTAATCGTCAATGTCAATTTTCAATTGTTACAGATTTTTCTGTTAACTTAGTAAGTAAATAGGTGTATAGATTATCTACGTTAACATGGCACGGCCCTCCAACTTTTCGCCTTCAATATCTGTGACCCTTAAATTATATAGATAGAGCATATCGAGTCTCAAAAACGTGTCAACTTTTTGTCAGCTAATTGTCAAATTAGCTGACTCGTTTTTTATCAGTGTTCTATATACTTACGCACATAATGTATCTTGACGTATCTATATTTAATTATTTAATAAATAAAATTAGTTTTACGAATTAAAAAGGTGCAAAAATTATAAAACAAAATAAATATTGAAGTTGTAAAGGAACCGCTCATCAAACTATTTATCACGCAAAATTGTATGAAAAAGTTTACCCGCTTTTCTCGAAGCATTTGTATGGAAACACTCTATTTTTATAATTTAAGGTGTGATAACATACGGACATCATGCTCTGTTTGTGTTTGTGAGAATACGTCTTCAGTGCCAGTCTGGCCTGAGGAGTATTCTATTCCTTGGTTGAAATCTTGTAAAAAATTTTACTCACTTTCTCAATTCTTTGGATTTTGGTAGGGCGTGTCCTGTTATTGTAGACAATCTACGCTTAATTCTCTTGTTCAATACAATTTATATTTACTAATTTTAATAACATAATTGAATGCATGTTTGCCACCTTTGGGGTTAAAAAAAATATTATATTTCTTTAGTCAACTTTTACAACATCCGCGGGAAAGGAAGGGGTGTCCCATTCTATATCGAGAGTAAACAGCTATATTTTTTCCTTTCAATTCAATTTATTTATTGCATTCTAAAATATTATTATGAAAGATGTTAATAATTAATAAAGTATATTGTATACCCTGTCGGGCACAGCAATTAGAAGCGAGGAGGGCGTCTTTTTTTTATTTTTTACAAAGATTTCAATAATTAAATAATTCAATTTCAATTTCATCAATGTAATTAAATTCTAATTAAAATCCAAATAAATTGAATTATTTTAACGATTTTTTTTTATTTCCATATGTTTTATTTTGTTTAATACAATTTAATGTAGTTGTTTATATTTTTATATCTTTTTATTAGTACCATTATCAATTTTATTAATATTAACTAAACCAGTAATATTTATATATTATGTGTTAATTTTTATTATATATATATATATATATATATATATATATATATATATATATATATATATATATATATATATATATATATATATATATATATATATATATATATATATATATATATATACATATACATATACGGTAGTATATCTCTGCTGTAAGGATGTAAAACTGTATGGCGTTTACATTTCAATCAAGTTTGTTTGCATGTTTGCCGTATGTAAATACATTTCTGTAGAACGTACAGAGGACAGACGGATGAGCAAACAGGCTCACTTATCAACCGACTTCAAAAAGATAGAGATTCTTGTATTTTTTGTTTATTTATTTATTCTTTATTGCACAATAAAATTTTGTACAAGTGGCGAGTTTAATGCCATATGACATTCTCTACCTGCTAATCATTAGGTAAAAACAGAAAGCGTATGAAGGGCAGATGTGGTGAAAAATATGTAACAATATAAATATGTGACACAATTATTGTAACATACATACATACATATATATCTGTCACGCCTGTCTCCCATTAGGGTAGGCAGAAACAATAGAACTCCAAATGCATCGATTCACGCCATATCCCACCCTTCAAACCGAAACACAGCCATGGTTTGCATGGCTGTGTTTCAACTGCTTCACGGTAGAAACACGAATGGGACAGAGGTACCTAAGCAATTGATTTTTTTTTTATTACATGATAATGGAATAGTAACCCCACCTGTGCTATTGGTATACACCGGTGGGGCATCAGTGAAGGATGATAGGTGAAGATAAAGTAGGTCAGTTAGCCCATCGTGACGAATTCAACAAAAAATGTTCTCGATGGTTGCCAGGGGGAACCACGTGGAGGTCGACCTAATAAGGCATATTGCTAGCAATGGGGCTGTCAAACTCCATTGCTAACAATCCCTTTCCCCCCAGCAATTGATATTTGTACAAAATCTCCCTCTGGTAAAACATAAGCCTCCCCCATAAGGGAAAGTTTTGCCAGTGTTCGCCACGCTTGGCAAGCGGGTTAGCAACCGCAATTAGACTTAAGCAATGGTCTTAGAGGAGCACTGCTGCCCACCTTTCGACCGCTAAGTTCCCTTAGTCCAAATCGTTGCCGTAGTCATAATGAAAATTTAATGACGACACACGAATAAAAAAAGGGGTGGTCCATTTTATGGCGAGACCACACAAGATTAGGGGGTAAAGGGATTGTTAGTAATGGAGACTGAGAATCTCATTGCTAGCAATATACCCAACCAGGTCCACCTCCTCGCGGTTCCCCCTGTAAACTAACATGGTTAATTCCTGATGAATTCATCATGATAGGCTAACTGGCCTGTTTTCATTCTCACCTATCACCCTTCACTGGTGCTCCGCCAGCGTATCCCATTAGCGCAGGCGAGGTTACCATACCATTTTCACCCATCACACGACAAGATTGTACTTGCCACTTAGAACGATGCTACTTAGATGGTAAGTAGGTAAACGTTATCTTAAATAAATCTAAACTTTAAGCTCTCCTATTATAATTAAGTGCGTAATTAATTAATTATTATAATTATAATTAATTTAGTTATATAATAAGTATTATAACTAGAATTCTTATCAATTATACATAATTATACATGTACATGGTGTATCTTCAGAAGTATTTTGGGAACGATGTACTAAGAAATGTGTCTCTCAATGTTATGAGTACGTAATATACAGCAATAAATATATATTTTAGTTATAATATAATATCTATATACTAGTCTAATAACAGACTTTTGTAACAGACTTTTAACATATTAAATTATTAAATAATAAATTCTTATATAAGTTGTTTAGGAACAGAATTGACTGTTCTCAGCTTCTTGCCAAATTTCATTTTCGATTGCCCGTACACTATCCCCGTAGTTACATCAGTCCAATGTCCTTTCCGTTTTTCGTTTAATCTGTTCTTTCAATTTTTTCTTCATTAACGTCTTTGCAATTCTGCTGAATCTTGCCAAATGAATAAAACATCAAAATAAAGTAATGCTAAGTTGTAGGTTAATTTGAATAGCTAATAAAACTTAAAAACCGAATTAGTTTAATCTAAAAAACTATTTCAATGTCAAATGCACATTAACAGAATTATTAATTAATTATTGTTTTTTATATATTAATTAGCACTTATATATGTAAAATGATTGTACTTACGAAAATAAAAATTAACTATTAAATCTTATCAGTCTACTTGCTTTAAATCACGATAAACGTAAAACGATAAAATAAAATATTAAAAGTCTGTTAAAATTTGAAAAAAAAGTTATTCTCCGTATTCGGGCAAATTTCGAATGAAGTTTTTACAAAAGTATTGAATCCTAAGAAATATCGATCCAAAAAGTTCCGAATTGCACTTCGTTTGGCCTGCTGTTCTTGTAATTGTTCAAGTCTTTGCAAGCTGTTGATCACTCCAAGAGCAACGATTTTGATATTCATTTTATATTGAAGATGTCTAACTTTGGATCAATTATTAATTTGAATAGCTCATAAAACTTTGGCTGAAACATCATCTATGTCTGGGCGACTGACGTCAAATACATCAAGAGATTGTTATATCATATTATTGTTTTTGTTAATTAGCACGCTGTGTTTCCTTTAAAATGATTGTACATACACTAAGTATAAATAGACAGTAATTTTAATATTAAATCTTATCAGTGTAACAATTGCTAGGAGACCAAATAAAGATAAAATAAAATATTAAAAGTCTGTTAAAAGTCTGAAAAACACTCGTTGGTTAAAAGTATCGAATGCAAATCGAATGAAGTATCTGGTACAAAAGTATTGTTATCCTAAGGTAAAGTACTCAATACCAAAAAGTACCGATACTTCTTTTGTGTCCCAATTACGTTTAATTGTTCAAGTTTTCACTTCTGTTATCACTCCAAGAGTGCCAATTTTGTTTTATTTTATATTGAAGATGTCACAACTTTGGATCAATTATTAATCGGTTTACATTTTCATTAAGTTTGGCTGAAACATATTGTATGTGTGGGCGACTGACGTAAAACATGGAAGCTATCACATTTTTTTTCTTTCATCTAACTTAAAAGGGCTTGTTTGCTCTCGCTGAAGGCCAGGAAAATGGTAACCGTCACTTATAGTTATAAAGAGGCACCATAGACATTGGGAGTGTTCTGAGTAATTGTTCGAATTGATAGCTGCTGCTGATTTTCACCACCGTACAAACTGCCACAAACTAAAGTTTCATCCTAATCATCTGGACGAGTGGCGATTTTCCACCGTGCGTTTTTCAAGGCACTTTCTTCCACGCACAACCATTCTTTGAATCAACTTTGAGCAACAGTATTTCCGAATTTTACGATAACATTTTCAAGAAAAATTCATATTCCCTTTTTAAAAGGCCGGTCAGCACACCTGCAATGAGGATGATGTTGCGGGTGATCATGGGCGGCGTGTCATTTACCATCAAGGTGTTCACGCATGCTCGTTTGCCTCTTGTGTTGTAAAAAAAAAGAAAAAAAATATCACAAAATATATACAAACGGTACAGCCCATGCGTTACCACTGAGGAGTATGGCGTTATGCCTCTGTACCTTGTAATTTCACTGCCATATCCCACACTTCATATTGAGTCACGGTTCATGCAAACACGATTACCTAGCGAAGGGATACCAGGTACAAAATAAAATAAATTAATTAAAGTCGCCCACATTTATTTTTTAATTCATAAGACATAATTACTATAATAATGTATCAATATATATGTGTAAAGAACTTATTTATGTTACTGAAATAAAATATAAAATTGTTCAAATTATTGATTGTTAGTATTTTTTAATCCTGCTTAAAATGCCCAACTAGTTTAGAGTCCACCTGGTTGATGTGTGGTAACCGTCATCTACAGACATGAACAGCACCGTGGATATAGTAGAATGCACATTGCATCTAATAAAGAATGGAGATCTAACAGCTCCATTGCTAGCGACCTGTTCTATCAGGTCGACCTCCATGTGGTCCTCCCTGGAAACCATCGTGACTTCTTGTGGAATTCATTATTAACTAACTAACCTACTTTCATCATCACCTGTCATCTTTCACTGGTGCCCCGCCAGTGTATACGATAGTGCAGGTCTATCGTGATGTCATCAAAAACATCATTTCCAGGGGAAATCACGTGGAGGTCGACTGAATAGAGTTAGCTGTAGAAAATCACCCAATTGAATAGTCTTAAACAAACCTAAGTACACAGGGGGAAAGGAATTGCTAGTAATAACAGTCTAACAGCCTCATTGCTAGCAATATACCCTATCAGGCAATCCATATTGGTTAATTCTTGTTCAATTGTTTACTATTAGCCAACTGGCCTGCTTCATCCTCACTTGTCACCCTTCACTGGTGCCCCGCCAGTATATACCGATAGCGCAAGCGGGATTACCATTCCATTATCACTCATTAAAAAAAATATAGCCGTCTTATAAAACTACTGTACTGTAATACACAGATACAATAAAAACCATACCAAAATACCGAAATATATGCTAGTACAATCGCTCTGTATAGGTAGTTATGTGTACAACGTTAGTTTATTTTATATTGGTTTATTATAGACGCGAAATGACTTTTTTTTCCTAATAATCTGTGAAGCGTGAACATGTACTTAATGGCACGGTCAAGATCAAGGCTTTTAAAATAGACGATTCAGAGATAGTTAGGAAAATGTAGTTACGTACGTTTGGAGCCGACCTTGTGCGTGAAACGAAGTGATGGCTGTTTCTGGTGATTGCAATCGCTACTGGATGGGCACAGATAATATAATACTATACTAGTGTTTTTTTTTTTTTTACAACACAGGGGGCAAACGATCAGTGTATGGGTATATTATTATTAATATTTTCAGACAACTTCAAAAACAGGAGAAGGTTCATTAATTTAATTGTTATTATTTTTCATTTTCATTTAAGAGTTTCCTCTTGTCGGTGCAACTAATTCATGCATCTTCCTCCAGCCAGCTCTATCCCAGGCCATATCCTTTATCTCCCTATACGACATGACACCTAGTGTTTCCTTTATCTGTCCCATGTAGTTAATCCTCGGTCTTCCTCTTCCTCTTTTGCCCTCTATCTTTCCTTCTATTATGCTCTTAAAAAAATCGTCATGTCGTACGACATGTTATTATTTTATTGTTAATTAATTTATATTTAATTTTTATGAATTCATTTGGTGCATTTTTTGTGTCTTTTACCTCAAAACTCTGTCATTTATGAACCGATTTAGAAAATCCTCTTTTTATCTGTAAGATTATAGTTTCAAATTGGTCCCATAGAAATTTAATGAAAATCGATTCAGTTGTTTGATTTTTAAATCAAAATTATTTGGTAAATACAAAAAAAGTTTTTTTGGAACAAAAATCTATCTATGTATTAATAATTTAATTTCTTAAATAATAATTAATAAAATCATTAGATAATTAATTCTATCTATCTATCTTAACGTTAAGTCCCTTAAGGGGTAGTCATATAGAACCGAATACCATAGGGTCTCTATTTTTACGTAACTCGTTTGCTTCGTTCATTTTTATTACTCTTTTTATGTATCTACGCCAATTCTGGAGGCCGATTCTCCTGCATTTGAATCAATCACGGATTCACGAAGAAATTTTTCGAACGAAAATCAATTTACGTTATTCTGGGTATGATAATGTCGAAAACAAAATAAAACAGTCTATCAGATCACAATAGGTTGTTTTAGGTATACTCTCTCTCTGTTCAGTCGTACACTCTTGGCAGAGTGGTCGTGGTTTTCACAATGACGGTGGATCGTCGGTGAGGCTCTCCTTCGCAATTGAGGTCCTCGCAATATGTCTCCATCTACTTCTGTTCGCCGCCGAGCGAGAGCATTCCACAATAGATTTCTGTGTGGCCGTTTTGATGAGGTCAGTCCATCGCGTTGGCGATCTAGTTTTAGGTATACACTGTTATATATATCTACTTTTGAATTATATTATCTTTTTGTTACAACACAGGGGGCCAACGAGCATGCGGCTCACCTGATGGTAAGCAACTACCGCCGCCCATGATCACCCACAACACCAAAGGCATTGCAGGTGTGCTGCCGGCCTTTTAAAAAGGAATCTGTCTACCTGTCTCGTCGGTCTTTTATCTAACGTCATATTTTTTTAAGTGGATAGTATTGCAATAATAACCCCCACTCGCGCTATTGGTATGCGCTGGCGGGGCACCACTGGTGCTGCAGGGGTGATAGGTAAAAATGAAAGTAGGCCAATGGTCATGAGCAGTACCGTGGACATAACAGAGTATACCGTTTCGCCCATGATACCCCCCATGCGTTGCCATTCCTGTAGACTCAGGTGTTATTCCTCTGTACCCTGTAAATTCACTGCCATATCTCACCCTTATAACCGAAACACAGCCGTGCAAACAACTGCTTCATTGTTAAAACACGAATGGAACAGAGGTGCCCAATCAAACGACTTTTGTATAAAGTCTGTCTCTGGTATTTTTTTATTTATTTATTTATTTTAAAAGGTACATCAACAGTACAAACACAGATATATATGGTTTGCAATGAAGAAGCCTTTACTCTTCATTACTAACAATCCCTTCCCCTCTCTTGTCAGAGAGGGGAAGAGTCTTCTTTCCACATGCCTGAACCAATCTGTATAGGTTTAGATACCGCTGTTGTCTTCTGGTGATGATAAACATAATGCACCGGGGTTGCCTTCTCTCAGTTAGCCTCAACTTAGGGTTGCTAGCAATGGATTGTTAGCAATGGAGTTTAACAGCCCCATTGCTAGCAATATGCCCTAATAGGTCGACCTCCACGCGGTCCTCTCTGGAAACCATCGTGAACAATTCTTGTTGAATTCGTCACGATGGGCTAATTGACCTGCTTCATCCTCTCCTCATCCTTCACTGGTGCCCCGCCGGTGTATACCGATAGCGCGGGTAGGGTTACCATTCCATTATCACCCATTAAAAAAAAATTTAGGGTTGTCATTTAAAGTTCGGAAGTATAACATCAGTTCCCGGAAAGGACAATACATGGGAAGCAGACATCACGAGCGTCACAGAGTATCCCTTGACGTCTGTGTTATTCTGTCAGTTGGACTGTCGACTTGTTTGCCATTGTGAGTTGCATAAAAAATATATTAATGAGTTTGTAAAAAAAAAATATTTGTATGTAATAATAGAAACGCATGTGAAGTCACACAATGTGTTTGTATATGCGATGTTCAAGGCGGATACATTAAAATAAAAGCAACAATTAACCGCTTTAATTGCATGACTAACCGGCCAAACAGTATCTACATAACAATGGCTTGAATAACTTTTGTTATAATATTTAGCATCATTCTTTAATCTTATACAATAACCGTGGTGATTTTGAATTATATTACGATTAATCTTGTTTTTTTTTTTCACTACCTAGGCAGTTCTTATAAACACATTTTTTTTACGTTTTATACAAATTATTTTTTTAAGCTTCCATTGTTGTTATTCATAATTACCTTGGCTTAGGTAAATACATATACAGCTTAAAATATTTTCTCAACCGTCTTTAAAAACAAAAAGATTCTCAATTTGTCTATTATTTTTATGTGTACCTCCTGTATGTCACGCGATATCACTGCCAACTCTGCACCGATTTTGATGATTCTTTTTGCAATCGACTCTTTGCTTGAAAAGGCATGGTAATCTTGCTTACGCTTCTGATTAACGTTTGTGGAATACTAATGAGGAATTATAGATGATTAAACGAGGATGAAGTCTAATTAGTTGGTCCATCATGACAAATTCACTAGATTTTTAAAAGCATAATATACTGAATAATCATCATCATTTTGATGATATCAGCTTTTAACTGTCCACTATTAAACATAGGGCTCCCGTATTAAGGGGTTTTGCCAATAGTTGCCACGTCTAGCAGGTGAGTTGGTAATCGCAGTTAGACTTTGGTGAATGGACTTTCTCGATTATTGAGTTCCTTTAGTCATCTCTTAAGCATATAAGAAGGGGAAGGGATCGTTAGTCCGATCAACCTCCACGAGGTCCCCTCTGGAAACCGTCGTGTTGACTTCCAGGTGTATTCATCATGATAGGCTAACTGACCTACCTTTCCGTTCTCACCTATCATCCTTCATTGGTGTCCCGCCAGCATACACCGTTAGCGCAAGCGGGGTTATTATTCCATTATCATCCATTAAAAAAAACTCACTATATAATATATTGCTTGAAATAGAACTGCTAGTACAGCTAACGAATCTTTTCTCTATAATAATATGAACCTCTAAATGATGCGTTGGATTTGATTTTCGATTAAGACAAGTAAGAAAGGAACTTTTATAAATTCTGGTTTTTACATTTTGATCCCAGTTGTTGACTGTCTACTAGATTGAATATAGGATCAAACTGTTACATACTGTCACCGTACTCTAAGGGTATTACGTGAACACTCGTAACATTCCATTATCACTTATTGAAAAAAAAAACACACACACACTTTCGCTTTTTTTTTCTAAAAGTTATTCATCAAATGCAATTATACAAATAGATAGCATAATTACATCAATATAAAGATAAAAAATTGAATCTAGTAATAAAATATTTATAACACTAAATACAGACTGCAAAGTATTCTGCTGATAAACCTACTTTTTTATCTAAAACGGAAAAATAAATAAATCGTATTCATATCAACATAGAACGGAACGTAGATAAAAAATAAATTACAATTAGGCGCGTTCACAGAAAACAGACAGTTGATTTCATTTATTCTGTGTATTTAGTACCTACTAACTATTCATTGCGATTTATATAAATTGTTGTAGTTATATACTAAATAATAATGATTATTAAATAGCAGTGGATCGTTTATTTAAATAGATAAGGATTATGTTCAAGTTCATGGACATGGAACAAGTTTGAATGCATGGATGTGATACCGCGTGCTGTCTGTCACCTTCTGTCAATTTGTCTCGAAGTCCGACTCGAAATGTCAGTCGGTCACTGGATAAAGTACGATTTGAACGTGTGTTAACATATCCGGCGGCGTACAAGCAATTTGCATGAAATCGCGTTTAGTCAATTGCATATTATCTTATTACAGTCGTTAGGTCCGTGTATGAGCATCGGGGATATGTGTGATCACAGCAGGACACTGTGATCGTCGTCTGTTATTTAAAAAAAAAAATTACGTCCGCGCGCTATCTTTGTGGATTGTTTTGATTAAAATTGTTTTGTTTTGTGTGTTATAACGGAGAAACTGTTGTTTCGAAGATGAAAGACATACAAAATAAAGAAGAAACATCCGATGATGAAGCCGGGTTGGGGTACCAGAATACGTTGGTAAGTGCGTTAGCATTTCTTCGCAAACTTTCTTTCTTCTAGAAAATTTCGCTACACTGTAGACGGGTACCGGTTCCTTTATTTCCGTTACCCGTTCATATAACTCTTGTATGAGCCAATGAACCTAGTGTTTGTATAAGCGATAATACGTTTAGGTGTTTTTGTAAATTTTATATTGAATGCATTTTCCTATTTAGTTCTTATTAGAATCTATCTATCTATCTTTACACTAGATCTTATAGGAATAGGCGGTCTTTTTTTAAATGTTATAGTAGTATTAAATTCCATTTATGACATTTGTCCTGTTTTGTAACTTGTTATTTATTTATCAATTACAAAATTATAAGTATTTACAAAGAATATCTATGCTTTTGGAACATTATGAAATATAATAATAAAAATAAAAAAATAATAAAAAAGAAAGTCAATAAATTTTTTACTATTAAATTATAAGTTGTTAAAAATAAAAACAAAAGTATACTTAAGTACTTATATGTAATATGTAAATTAATAATAATTGAATGACATAATGCATAATATCAATTAATATATTTAGATAAAAACATATGTAATCTTCTTAAGAAACATTACAATCTATAAAATCTTGTATATTGTTCATTAATAAAATATAACTATATTATTAAATAAAGAAGTTATTTTATAGAAATTAGTAGTTATTAATTAAATTAATAATATCTATAAAGTGTAACAAATTTAATTATACATGCTTAATTAAAATTATTTTATTTGATTAAATATAATTTAATTATTGTTATATTAAATTCACACTATTTATACACATTTTTAATAGAGTAATATCATTTTGTTATTTATATATAGCTATGGTGATGATGTCTTATTGTTTTCCTTACATCAGGAACATATATTTTATTACTTAAAATATAAAATATTAAATAGGTATAGTTAATTTGTAACCAAATTATATTAAATTGTAAGCATAATTTTGGAAATTATACATTCAGTGGATATAAAGTTATATCTTTATTTGTGTTAGGTGTTTGAATAAATCAAAACTAATATTATAGAGGGAAAAGATTTTTTTGTTTATAATACTTAAGCACAAATCATATTTTACATATTTTCAAACTTCTATGTCTATGCAACATTGGCTGTTTTTTTTTTTTGTAAACAGGGGAGGTTTGTTAGTAATTTCTAAAAAGCAGAATAAATTAAAAATTACATATAAAAATAATTCTAACTGTTTATTTCCTAAAATAAACAAATTTTCTTAAAGAGGAAAGATTTTTTTTTGTTTATAATGTATTGACTCAAACAATACTTAAATAAATTTTTGGAATTATTATTAAATAATCCCTTTAGAATACTTCATTATGAAGGAGTAATATGGACTGTATTTTATTAAAAAAAAAAAACTGCATAGTCACTAGATTTATTTATTTTTTATATCAGCCAACAAGCTTATAAATATAGTCCCTATTACCTATTTAAAAAAAAAATTAATACTATCATAAAGCTGACCTTATAATAGTATTTATACTTGAAGTATCTAGAATGTCCACTGTATGAGTAGGTTGTATTATTAAAAAATAAATTGTTATATAATACTACACAGATTAAAAATAAAAGAAAATATTGAAGTTGTAATGAATCCAACAATATATTTCTTAAATTAAGTAAACTAATAAGTTATTATGATTATTTGAAACTTATTACAGAAGTTGTCTACTTGGGTACCAGTGTCTCATGAGTTGCTGCTGTAGAGTATTTGTGCATTGGTTTAAAGAATAGAATGTGGTAATGAAGTTAGAGATTATAGAGCTATATAGGGAGAAGGATTGTTAGTCATGAGGATGTTTAATCCCATTGCTACCAATATATCCTATTAGATCGACTTCTACATGGTTCCCCCTGGAAACCATCGTGATTAATTATCGTCAAATTTCTCAGGATGAACGAACTGACCTGACTTCTTCCTCACCTGTCATCTGTCACTGGTGCCCCATCAATGTATATGGATAATGCAAGCAGTCACTTTGTCTATGTCAGTCATCAAAGCTGTCACAATTTACCATTCCAGTTACTTTTAAATTACCATTCCATTATCATTCTTAAAAAAAAAGCATTCCATTATCATTCTTAAAAAAAAGCATTCCCTTAAGAGGACTGTGGGTTTGGTTGCCATTTTGCATAAGAAGGATGTTCCATAAAATATGGGATTTTCATATCAGCCTTTAACTGTTCACTGCTAAATATAAGGCTCCCCCTTGGGGGGTTTTGCCAGCAGTTGCCACGCTTGGCAGGCTGTTTGTCAACCGCAATTAGGCTTTGGAGATGTTTTAAGAGAAACTCTGCCACCCATCCCTCCAATCCCTTAGTCGAAGGGGTGAACCATTCTATGCCAGGACCACACCGCAGTATGGGATTATAATTTACTTTCTACTAGCATTGTAAATATGAAAATTTGTAAAGATGTTTGAGTGTCTATTGTTAATTTGATGTTACATAATCTAATTAGACCATTTTACACTTCCAATAAGAACCCAATTGGACAAAATTTGAACTCACAACTTATCTAGGTTGTGGCCCAAATACATAATATGTAGTTTTATTTATACCACTGAGGCAGCAAATAAACATATGGCCCACCTGATAGTAAGTCCTTACCATAGCCTATGAACGCCTGCAATACCATAGACAATTACATGCTCGTTGACGTGAAGTAACTTCTTTAGGCCCTTTGTTTTTAAGAACTCTATGCTGTAGTCTTTTCGAAAAACAATGAATAATTTAAAATAGTATAATATTATCTTTTATATTTTATTAATTTATATATTACTTATATTCCTTTATATTTATGTATGTATTATTTATTTTGTATAGGTATACATTATTACTTGTTATTTTCTTTACCTATTCCAATAATGAAGTACCGCGTTCGTGATTTTCTTTTCATTCCAAAGTTTGACTGGTAGAGAATGTTACTAGCATTAAGTCCGCAGTAAGATGATCATACTTGACATTTTTTAAATTTGATAAACAACTAACCAGAAGGGCAGGAGAAGCCAATATTAAGACAGGCACACTGTTAATTAGAGCACTGGAGCTTGGATGATGAAAACGCGGCTTAAGGTTTCACATTAGATACACTGTGACAATGAATAAACAAGTAGTTATGTGTAAACATAGGACAAACTAAACAACCAATCTACAAAGATATCTACATTATATGTGACTTCATTCAACTGAGAGGTCAAGACGATAAAGATAATAATATGGTAGTTTTTTTTTTTTTACGTAGAAATACCAATTCAATTAAAATTCATTCACCCCTTGCACTAATACAGATTTTTTTAATGATAACGGAATGGTAATGCTGCCTGTGCTATCGGTGTACACTGGCGGGGCACCAGTGAGGGACGAATGGTTTTTTTTTATTATTTTTATTTTATTTTTTTTGTTTTTTTTTTCCAATATAATTTGGTTCGCGATTGGGAAAAACGGGGGCGAATGGTTAGGATGAAAAGACACGTCCGTTAGCCCATTGTGACGAATTCAACGATAAATTAGTCACGATGGTTTTCAGGGGGAACCGCGTGGAGGTCGACCTGATAAGGTATATTGATAGCAATGGAGACTAAACTCCCCGTTATGAACAATCACTTCCCCCAACTAATACAGATTGCGTAATGTAATCGACGGGGGGGGGGGGGGGGATAGTAATAGAGATTAAAGGTCCTATTGTTAGCAATGTATCTATACTGAGTCAGGTCGACCTCCACGTGGTCCCCCCTGGAAACTATCATGCTGAATTCCAAGTGCAGTAATCACTATGGGCAAAATTATTTGTTTTTATTTTAATATATTTCATCCTCACCTATCATCCTTCACTGGTGTCCCGCCAACGTATACATAGATAATCTTTATTACCAGTAATAACTTTTAAGAAAAATCAACAATAAAAAGAAAAAAAATCCATTTTGCTGGTAATAGGAGCCGCCTCGGCTGTTGCTATATATGTACAGCTCCAACGAGATGTACCTATATAGCGCTGATTTTCAGGCGGCCCCTTAGCCCCTTAATATACCATTAGCGCAGGCGGAGTGACCTTTCCATTATCATCCATTAAACAAAATGTAATCAACTTCTTAATAATTATGCTACCTACTTAATTATGATGAATATCGTTACCCTCTGTCTCGCGCCGCAACTCGTGGCAACAAAGAATCTACTAGTTTAATGTAAAGTATTTAAAACTAGCGGCCCGTCCCGGCTATCGCACAGATGGACATTTTTACATTTTTATCTGATCCTACCTAATTAAATTGACTGGGGGGAAAGGGATTGTTAGTAATGGAGACTGAGAATCTCATTGCTAGCAATATACCCAACCAGGTCGACTTCCTAGCGGTTCCCCCTGGAAACTATCATGGTTAACTCCTGATGAATTCATCATGATGGGCTAACTGGCCTGTTTTCATTCTCATCTATCACCCTTCACTGGTGCTCCGCCAGCGTATCCCGTTAGCGCAGGCGGGGTTGCCATACCATTTTCACCCATCAAAAAAAAATTAAATTGACTAAGTTTTTTTTATATATTTTTTTTATTTATATTTATGTGGATAAGGATGTAACCAGAAGTATGAATAACATGGTGTAATTTTGGTCGGTATTTCTATTAACATTTAAAATGTAAAAAGTGGTTATTGTGACATAACGATAATAGTTGGACATATAGTATCGCGAAGTTTTTTGTAGTTATTGATATTTTCTTCAATATTGTAAAACATATTTTTGTTCCATCACCAATAGTTTCCGCAGCGCACGCGGCAAAAGATATAGCATTTTTTACGCCTTGAGTTACATTACTAAAATTTTAGTAAGGATCCTTACTCTTTTCTAGCAATAAATATAGCCTATGTTACTCAGGATGAATGTAACTTTCTAATGGTGAAAGAATTTTTGAAATTAGCAAAGTAGTTTTTGAGTTTAATTCATTACAAACATACATACACACAAAA